AAACACTTAATGCACTCAAAAATAGATTAATACTGAGGGCGCTGCATCTACTTATTGCTTATGATGTCGCCCAACAAAGCTTTTCAATGTGTACCATCAAGCTAAACATGACTTTTATAAAGCCACCATCTTGGTTTGTTTATTTTCAAGAAGAAGAAGAAATAAAAAGAAATACTGTTATTTCTTTATTTATCGGTTTGATCGACAAAGATGATTTATATGTGTAATTATGATAAATTTGCATTTTATATCAGAGAGAGTGAATTGGACAGCTTAAGTTAGGCGGAGACTTTAGTAGTATGAAGCTGTATAATGATGCTACATGTAGTTTCCCAAGGAAGCGTCCGTAACATTAGCCCATTTTCTGGTACATTTTTGAGTACACCAAGTGTTTGACTAAAATACTATTACCTTTTATACTGTTTTCTATACAGGATGGTTCGTATAATGGTGGTAATATTGGCCAAATTAACCTTCTATACTTCTTTTTAATCTGTCAAGCGCCCGCATTGCATGTCGATCCGTCAAAGTAACAACACAGTTGGTCCAAAGGTCTCAGATAACTCAGATCAAAATGGCAGGTACAGAGTATTGCCTGTTGTCTCAAAGTATACAGATACAGATCTATTATATACATCTGCAGCTAATTGAATACAATTCAAAGAATCGAGCCGACAGCTAGGTGGAGGAGCAGGATTACAGTTACTAAGCACTCTTTCAAAAGCCGTAATTTTCAGCGTATCTACAAATTTCAAGTTACTTTAGCATTCACTTTAAACAAAGTATTTTGTATGTATACCTTGCTTGTGCAAGTCAAGCCACTACTTCATTTCTCGCTTGACTCTCAGACGAACATAAGCTCAAATCAACTAATCACAAAGAGAATTGTTCATGGCGCTTTCGCGTGTATATAAGAAAAAACAGGGATTTGCTATTTATAAGGTATCATTCTTTGATCATAGAGGACTTCTTAGAGTTCTTCTTTTAGACGACACTTAGATTTGTACCTGATCAATTGTTGATCTGAGAGCTAAAACCTAGACACAAACAGGAAAGTATTTATTCAGGGAAACCTCATTTAAGCTTTTAATGCATTAAGCGGTAAATTTCTATCCCTGTTCTATTGTTATATCATTGTGAGGCTTCATCTTATTTTATTGTATCAATTGGTTCTCTACTTATCTCAGTGCAGCTTTACTGTCAACATTGGATTATAAATGTTTTACTGCAAAGGCTATAAAGTTTATTAATCATTTTTAAGTTAGTATTTATTCCTTATGATACAATTCAACGTCAGATCCAAAGTAGAGCTTGCCCACATGGGCGATGCTGTTCAAGTTTTATTGCATAATTTATCATTTATAATGTCTGACTTATAACACTAGACAAACCATGCCCATACACGATGTACAATACTGAAGTATAAGAGAAGCATGTGCTGATGAGGCTGTAATAATCTCTTTATTATGTTGAGAGAGGGTTCATTATTCATTTTATAAGAAAACAGAGTGATTGCATGAATCTATCACGGCCGATGAGAATTGGGAATGGCGTATCTATAAGAACAACGCACTTTGTGGTCAGTCCTTTCTTTTTGTTTTTCTTTCTTCAAAGAGTAACAACGTGGGGTATCTATGAGGTAAGAAACCCAAAAAATAATTATGTGTAATCGCACTAATTTTTATTTTCGTGTGCATTTTCGCGTGTGCATAATGTTTTCCAAATAATTTGTAAAAGCTGGGGCAAATTAACTTCAAACATTTGGGCAAACTAGTTTTTATTATTGTGAAATTTAACTTCACACAAGCAGTATTTTTAGAATAATGTCAACCTTATCAGTATTGACAGCGTATGACCGCTGTTGGTGTAACCTGTTCTATAAAATCACAAGTTGGCAGCTTTGTTTATCAAGTTTCTTCTTTTGTTCAAGGTGCTTCAGACTGTCTACTACTATTCATGATAGCTCAAGCATAGTGAAAGGATACACTTGGATTAATGCGGTTCTTCAATGGACGGTCTTTTTTGGGGTTGGGGTCTTGATGAGTCACCGTAATTTAAAATTTCAGCTTTTGTTTCTACCTGCTTTTATATCTCTCTCGCACACCCCCAACAATGACCCTTCAAGATCAGTTACAAGCAACATTAGCAAAGAGACGACATATATCCAAACTTCGCCAACTTGTGGTTAACCCAGCTCATGCTATCGACTTTTCGTCCAACGACTTTTTAGGCCTTTCTCACAGTCTGGTCTTTAGAGAAAAATACCTGTCTGAGCTCTCTTCACTACCTACTATTTTAGGATCAACTGGATCGCGTTTGTTGGATGGCAACTCTGCCTACGTTGAAGATTTGGAAAAAAGAATTGCTCAGTTTCACAACAGCGAGACAGCTTTGATCTTCAATTCAGGGTTTGATGCCAACGCTAGCTTGTTTAGCACCTTGCCTCAACCAGGTGATATCATTCTGTATGACCAACTTATTCACGCCAGTGTACACGAAGGTATGCGTCTCTCACGGGCCGCAAAAAGGATTCCTTTCCTTCATTCAAACGTCGAGGACTTTGAAAGAACACTGGTGGACGTGATAAAGCAATATCCCGGAAAGAACGTGTTTATTGCATTGGAAACCGTGTATTCTATGGATGGCGATGTTGCTCCTCTCAGAGAAATAGTTGATGTATTAAGACAATATTGGCCAAATAGAGAAAATGGATACATTATCGTTGATGAGGTAACGAGCTGGAAAAGAAAGAAATGCGCGTATATGTGACCATAACATTTTCATTAGGCACACGGAACAGGTGTGTATGGAACATTAGGACGTGGCGTTGTTCACCAGCTGGGACTGGAGGACGAGATCTTTGCTCGTTTACATACATTTGGAAAAGCACTGGCTAGTCATGGAGGTTTGTCATTTTTGGAAATAAGATGGTATATATCTAATAATTTCGTATAGCTGTCGTTCTTGGATCAAGCATTTTGCGGGAATATCTCATTAACTATGCTCGTCCACTCATCTACTCTACATTCATGCCATTCAACTGCTTGGCTTCAATCAAATGCGCTTATGATATGTTGGAAAGTGGGCAAACAGCACCAGTGAGTATGATTCGCTTTCACACTAAGTGGCAGTCTATTAAAATATGAATAGATTCAAGCACATCTTCACCACATCACGCAGAGGTTCAGAGAAACTATCAAGTTGCCTATAGGGACCTTACTACCATCATCAAGCCCAATCCAAGGCGTTGTATTGAATGGTAATGCACCAGTTAGAGCATTGGCTGCTTATTTAAATGGAAAAGGGTTTATCGTAAAACCTATATGTTCACCAACTGTGCCTAAAGGACAAGAAAGAGTGCGTATATGTCTTCATGGCCACAATACAACGGAAGAAGTAGATAATCTGGTGTCAGAGATTCATGCATTCTTTCAGATAAGCCCTTCACAACCTGAAGAAGCTAAGCTGTAAAATATCTTTATTTTTCACAAACGATTGCAGAGAGAGAGAGATAGAAAGATAAAGGAAATCACATAGTTTTCATTATATTATATTGTTCTATTATATTAAAATGATACAAATCGTAACAAATAGTCATCGATGGCTGTTTATACATGAAGCGCTAGTCACTTATTACCTGCTACTTGGTATGGAAAAGTCCAAATACTGTTACTAATGCGCATTGCAAAGTTGATTTGATTATTTAAAGAATGAATGGAATCAAAGCATAACAATGAAAAACTCTCCTCCCAAAAAGAACAATGACAACACATTCCTTAACACCTCGATAAGTATAAAACAAACAATACGTTTTTATTGAGAAATAATCTAGATGTACAACAAACATTAAGCTTTCCAGAAAAGTAATAGAGGATCTCCCCCTTCCCCCCTTATTTAAGTGGGTAAAGAGGACTTGAGGCTGAGTTTTATAGATGCTAAAAATGCTTTTATTAAAGGTTATTTGATGGTCAACAGGTAAATTTCTAGACGCAATAAAATTCAATCTCTGAATTATCAGAAATTCCTCGGACAGTGTAGTTGTTTGAACAGCAATTTTGTTTGCATTCGTCATATGAAGGACAGCGGGTATTGGCAGGAATGCATGATTGACCATTAACAGATACTATCAGTAATGCCAATATAAGTAGACAAGCCGTGCTTTTCATTTGGGTTTTATCACCAACTCTGAAAAGAAAAGAGAGTAATAAAAAGGTATCGACAAAACTAGATTTTCGCAGATTTTACAATAAAAATTCAAAAGACAACCATAAGCCCTATCATATATGAGCTAGTCTTTATGCTTCGAATATGGGGAACATCTCTTTATCTAATATCTAGTAGCGTTTTGTCTTACAAATCTTTTAATATTATACAAAGTGGGGTGTATAATTTGGTGAGAGTAGGAAGGTACCGGTAAAGGAGATGGAAAGCATACAATCTGATAGGGAGTGGAGGGAGATAAACTAATCATTACAGTCGGCAGGTTAAGGCTTGGTGGTGTTAGGGTTCATGCCTATTTAACCTAAGAGGGTACTGCAATTATTCACAACTTGTTTAATTCCAATGACTAGCAACCGAGAGCCATAGAAAGCGGCATTAAAACCCTCAAGAGCAAGCTACTTGAAGCGGTCTTTGGGATTTGAACAGGATCGTGGGATTCAAAACGTAGATTGCTGACTACTGAGCTAGAAGCATAACCCCATAATCGCACGATATAGTGAAGGTATCACTTAGTCTATTATCAGAAGCTCAGGTTACACGGCTGTGACCTGAGATTGTTCATTATTAGGGAAACACTACGCACACGCGAAAATACGAATTGTATTTGTGCCTAACACAATCATAGCTGGTTCCACTTCGGCTTATAATGTGATACACGCTCTCTGAGCCATGCTTTATTTTTCATATATATAAATGGACAAAAATGTCATCTACAGCAACACACGCTTGAGCAGCCAGAGTTGCAACCAGAGCACGAGCCTTTGGCAAAGGAGCACCAGGAGAACGACTAAGGATCGCAGCAGTCGAATAGTCAATGAACTTATATGCAGTATCATTTTTTTTCGTACAGTCATGTTAAAAAGACACTAAAAAATGGAAAGATTCAAGAAGCATAAACATGAACTTCAGATATCGTCAGCGATACTGAAACTGGCAAATCAATGAGCTTCGAACATACCGTTGTATATTCGAGAGGCTCTGTGCTATGCAATTCAAGAGAGAGAGGTGTGCAGAAATCCAAATTGCAAAAAAAAAAAAAAATTCGATTTGCTGCACCAAGTGTACAAGCTAGCCCTCTTCTTGTAGTTCCTCAGCATTCTGCAGCACTGGCTTTTGCTCATTTCTTCACAGGGTGAGAACAAGACAAGCCTACCATCGTTAATCAGCTGAGAAGGGAAAGCCGCACCAAGAAAAGCATCCAACCCATCATTATTTGAATTGTTACATAGGCTGCCTGTAGCAATTGCTTCAAACTTTCCAACAGAGAAGCGCAACTCATACCAAGTTCTTCTTCCTTCTTGGAACTTTTGCATGCTTATGCGTAGTTTATCAACAAATCTGTTTAGTTTGCTTACGGAAGCAACATCAGCGATAGAGTTGTCGTGGTAGTATGTTTCCACCTGAGTCACCAACACCCAATTATCCGGTTTTTGCTATTTGCACAGCAAACCTGCACAACATTTTCACAATTGGTGAGGTAAGGAATCCAATTTGCACAGCAGACAGCATATCTATCGTATTTGCCTTACAAATAATCCATCTTGTAAAGTATTACTTGAAGAAAGAAAAACAAAAAGAAAGGACTGACCACAAAGTGCGTTGTTCTTATAGATACGCCATTCCCAATTCTCATCGGCCGTGATAGATTCATGCAATCACTCTGTTTTCTTATAAAATGAATAATGAACCCTCTCTCAACATAATAAAGAGATTATTACAGCCTCATCAGCACATGCTTCTCTTATACTTCAGTATTGTACATCGTGTATGGGCGTGGTTTGTCTAGTGCAAATTGAATCGCTTACGTCACTAATTGTGAAAATGCTGTACAGATGTATTGAGCAAACAACAAAACCTATATTTTTGGGTGTGCGTAGTGATTCCCCATTATTATTCTTGAGGGGGGAAATTGGTACTGAATTCAAGGAACTTCTCCCCGACAAACGTTATTTGATTCTTATGAGCACACCTATACTTGATAACGGACAAGGGGTCATTGACCCAGACGTATACTTTCAGCTAAACAAGCCACCTGCTAGCTTACCCGAATTCGAGTCAAAGCTCACAGCATTTGTTGAGTACCATCAACGACTTGATAACAAGATTGTCTTTATTACTGTAAGTCATTCTTTATTAACAGCATGTTCTTACTCACTTTATTGATGTAGAGTGGTGGAACAACTGTTCCCTTGGAAAACCAGACTGTTCGTTATATCGATAACTTTAGTAACGGTACTCGAGGCGCTATTTCAGCAGAGTATTTTATAGAAGCAGGATATGCCGTCGTTTTCATGCACAGACAACACAGTTTCCAGCCCTATAATCGACACTATACACATTCACATACCACATTTTTAGATTACCTGGAGCCAAAAGAAGATGGCACGATACAAGGTGAGTGATCAAAAAAGGATGTCAAGTCTATATATTAAAGACGCGTTCCTTTTTTTTTATCTAGTTCGTCAGGAATATGCAAGCAAGATGCATCAAGTGCTCTCAAAGTATCAAACAGTCTTGCGCGAGAACAGAATGCTCTTGCTCGAATTTGTTACTTTACCTGAATACCTTTTCAAGCTTCAAGCAGGCACGAAAATATTGGCGCGTTTACAAGATAAGGCCATGTATTATCTCGCTGCTGCTGTTAGCGATTTCTTTATTCCTTCACAGAAAATGGTAATTCATACATGAAACTAGAAAAGAAAGAGAAGGACTCATGAGTTTTTTTTTTTAGTCTGAACATAAAATACAATCCTCTGAGGGCGCATTGACTCTCACATTGGATCAAGTCCCAAAGTTCTTGAAGCCTTTGGTGAGTAACTGGGCAGCAAAAGGGTTAATTGTATCATTCAAGGTACGTTAAGCATAAATTTTGTATAGAACAGACTAAATCATACATTGCACCACCATCATATGCTTAGTTAGAGACAGAAGCTAGTCTTTTAGTTCCAAAGGCTCGACAGGCATTGACACGCTATGGTCATCAGGTCGTCATTGGCAACATGTTAACCACACGTAAGCAAGCAGTAACATTAATCACAAAGGATGGAGAAAGAGCGATATCGTTGACAGATGAAGAACTGGCAAATGGTAAAGAAATCGAAAGCTTGATCATCCCCGAATTGGTTCAAATTCATCAACACTGGATTCAGTCAGGCAAGACTGATTAAAGAGGGGGAAAATATATAAAAATCATTTAGAAACAAATAAAGCATGTTTAGTGTATGTCTTTTATATTTAACATTTCTATCGTTTATTAGAATTTATTTCCTCAAGAACAGTCAATATGTACTTTGATACTTTGGGTCGTTGTATTGCTAATAAAATTAATTCACTTTGATATGGTAAATAGTATATGTGATGCTGCTTATGTCTTGCTAAATTCCTTAGCAGTAATGCTGAGGTAAGTGGTATGCCGGATACTTCTGAATCGTCTACAGGCATTTTGCTCACAGTAAATGTCTTTGGCTTATTGCCCTGTTTACTCACTTTTCCTGCAAAATGCGTACGCATATGTTGAATGGCATTCATCTTTCCTTCAAGTCCCTTCTTACTGCACTTCATCCATCTGCACTCATTTGCTGTTTCCAAGTGATCATTTACAATATGTCTATGTAGGTCAGATTTACCATCAAACGACTGCTCGCATCCTTCCCATCTACATATAGGACCTGACAAAAAGTTAATGTCTCTGTTGTGTGATCAACTGTCTGCTTACCATCTTTCCTTCTTGTAGGATTGTATTTCACATTACATAAAACAGTCTCTAAAGACTTGGGTCCGTTAGCAAATGCTTCTTCTACTGAAGCAGGTTGAGGAAATGCGATTTTAAGTACAGTATAAAACTCTTTTATGCCCAATGGTTTCTCTGTGCCAAATAGCTTTTGGTAACTACTAAATATTTCATTCAATGCAATCTTATCCTCTGCGCCTCCAGTTGTCAATTGATCCTTTAGCCTAGAATAATTGATTGTTAATCATTGTAAACATGATGCATTGCTGCTATACCATCCAAGACATCGATAAGGCTCATCCAAGTTTGTGTAATTTGTGAGATCTGGGATAGAAGGTTGCTGTTGTACTGGCTCTACATGAATCATTTGTGCAGCAGGAATGCCGTGTATTGTGCCAAGTGCTGTAGATGATGGAGGTGCCAGGGAAGATTTGTATGAAAGGTAACCAGTTAATAGGCCAATCAAGTTGCCTGGATAGTGTTCAATAAGTTGTGTAGAAAAGCTTCCTCTCAGACTGGAGTATTGATACAAGTACTCTAATGTGGCAGCTTCTAGTTCCTCATCGTCTACAAGTAACAGCTGTGCTAAATGCTCAATGACTCTAGGATCTGCATGACATAGAATACGTTCGTTTGCCTCTGTTACAGCCACACGTGTCAGAGCTCGAATGGCTCCTAGTATGAATGCGCGATCATTGCTGAATAGGAGTTGTGTCATAGTAGTCAGATAAGAATCTGTTCGACTCGTCAGGATGACTTGAGGTGCAATATTTTCCATAATGTCCAAGCAATGGCGACTTAGTTCTCCATATCTTGAACTAGGTGCGAGCGAAATTCCCTTCATCAAGACGCTTCTGAGTCGTTCATGTAGAGCAAGCCGACGAATATTCATTTCCAGAAACGAAAAGTTGCGAATGATGTGAAATACTTGAAGTACACGTTCATAAGTTTCCTGCCTTGCTTTGCTTGTCATATTATCATTTGCTGATTCATCTATTTCGCGTTCAAAAAACGGGGTTGTAAAGTTCAATAGTAAATCGATTAGTGTTGGAATAAAGTCTAGGTTGAAGTTTTCAGAAACAAACGAAAACTTGATAAGTGTGTTGAATGCCCAATCGACTTCGTTTGGAAGATTGGATTGAAGCGAAAGAAGAATACGTGTACGAAATTCATAGTCTATAAATGTAGCTAATAAAATTGTTAGTATTTAATAAAGATATTCTTGTGTGTTTGTTACCTTGTGGGTGATAGGCTGGAGGTTGCTGACTGTTGGTAATCACTGCAGGTTGTGAAAATGCAGTACCTGTTTGTCGTGAATGATTGGATGGAGGTAAAGGCATTGGTGATGCAGTAGGCTTTTGGTGAGTGGCTAACAATTCTGCAGGAGGATTCCACGGCCGTTTCCAATAATTTTCTTCTTCCCATCCAAGCTATATACAAAAAGTTCATATATATGATATCGTTCAATCATTCTCATAATTACCAGATATTTTGTATAGACAGCCTTTAGTATATAAGCACTGTTTGTGCAAGTAGAAGGAAAGTTGAACGGATCTCCAACTTGCTTCCATCCGCGATTTAAAGTAACCTAGAGACGCGCATAAGATCAACTATGTTTTTTGTATGTTTGTTAACTTTACTTTTTCATATCCACCAGCTTCCATCACAGTCTTATAAATTCGTAATAGATCTAGTTTTTTTCCACCTAAAACAGGCTCTGCTTGTAAAACAGTTCTTGTAAATCGTTAGTATTTTTTATGTTCATCATGTCATGATTCAAAACTCACCCTTTTTTATCATGAAATTCTTTTAAATCTTTCATAAATTTGACATATTCTGGTGTTCGCTCTATGCCTTGATTATATTGAGACATGGTGGATAAGAACAGAAAAAAAAGAGAGAGAAATAAGAGGGATATGTACAATTTTTGTCGGTGTTTAAATAATATCTGATTTTATTGAAGTGATTGTAAAATAGAGCAGAGCCAGTGAGCAATGAGTGAACTTGATCTTTTGTAGTGTATGCTTTCTCCTTTTTACTAATATTTTAATGCTATCTTCTTTAAATAACTGCTTGCAATTTGTCAAGTCTACGTATTTCAAGCACTTTTTGTTACTTAGTTCTATCAATATGTCGTCTGTAATGGTAGAGAGATGCGATAGATCCACCTTTTCAAGCAAAGGGCAATGTGAAAGAATAGTGAGGATACCATCTGATGTAATTCCAAAGCATTCTCTTAGACAGAGTGTCTTTAATTGTGTATAGTGTTGATAAAGTAATAGTCCATTATCTGAAATACGCATACATCCACGTAAATCGAGCGTGACTAGAGTGTGATGAGCTCCAGTGAGCATATACTCTAGATCCGAATCCTCCAGCCCAGAGTCTGACTGTATGCGTAATTCTTTCCAGTTGGTTAGTTTAGACAAAAGGTGATTGTCATCTGTGGTCATTTTCTGTGCTTCCACATGTGAAAATATGTTTCGCTCAAAATGAAATTTGTTTAATTTTTCAAGTGGGATTGTCTTTATGATGTCTAGGACAGCCGTGATGCCTATTCCACTCTTATTTAATGTTAGACCTAATAGATTTGGACAGTGTGACAAGGTCTGTGCCAGATAGACAGGTTTTAGTCCGTGAATGTTTGATAGCTGCAGGGTCTCTAAAGAGCTTAGGACAAAACTCGTAGTCACATTCTCCTTGGGGTAAAGAGAAGCAAAGCAATCATGAATTAAAAGATGCTTAAGTTGGGTACATGTTCTTGGAATATGATCCATCAGTTCGTTTAACCATAGAGACACACCTCCCCACTCAAGTGTTACTAACTTGGGACCAATATATTCTAGGGCATTAAAAAATACCACGGTTGAGACAAGAATATTTGACAACACTATCACATGAGATATTAGAGAGGGATGAAAATAATAAGGAGGATTTACCGAGAGTGTTCAGGTTTCGACAATGATCAGCACGCTGTAGTAAGGTTAATAGGATACCATCACCATCTGCCTGTTGTTGATTTATCGATAGTTTCTTTAGGGACACACTACCGAGCCGATCAAGTAAGGAATTGATTGTGCTTGAGCCAATGTATCTCGTCTTGTTGTCTGTAAATTCAAGCTTGCTCCAAAGATGTGGGCAAGTCGAAATCAGAAACTGTCTCCATACCTTGCATACACCTGTTGACCGTACTAGACTTTTCAAGTCCAAATAATCAAATATATGAAATAGTATGTCATAAGATAGACGGGGATGCAGTACATAATTATTGGCCAACGACGGCTGATGTTGCCGATAATTTGCTTCATAAGCAACCTTCTTTTGGAATTCAATCTCGGCGTAACTTTCGTTTAGATCAGAGACGGCAAGAGATGCCTCTGAGAGTATATCATGGGCTAGCCGATAATTATGCTGATTAAAATAAATATCGGATAACAAAAGGTACCATTGGGGTTGTGTAGGGTAGCGTTTAGTTTGAGCAAAACAACGATTGACAGCATGTCTCCAATAACCCAAACGGATCAAGCAGTGAATTTGATACCAAGCACAGTTAATGGGTTGATATTGAAAACTCTTTTCCAGATAATAGAATAGACGATAGGATTGAACATAGTTTTGTTGATTCCACATGCTTTTGGCTTCCTTGTACAAGTCATGGAATGTCTGGTATTGCATATGAATATTATTACTATAGTATTATTTTTATTATAGTGAATAAAGAAATATAGAAACACAATGTGAACCCAAACCTTTGAACGACCAGTGATAACATTAAATGTGCGATGGTTGCCATTTTTATATATATAATTTTAAAAGGGAAAAAAAAAGAACCAGGTCCAAAGATGAAATATGAAAAAGAATTAAAAAATGCATATTTGTTTATAAATATATATTGGAGAGTGTAGATGAGTGGGAATATAGGTGCAGTAGTAAAAAGGGGAGAGAGGGGGGTAAGGGTAAAAAAGGAAAGAAAGAAAAAGGGGAATATTTAAGCTTTAGGTATAATTCCAATATGCCATGAAACTCTCTTTTGCTGAAAACTTGAATGAGTACAGGTATGAACACACCAAACACGCTTATGCCTTTTTATTGATTCAACTGCCTTTTGGTTCATTAACATGCTATCCTCTATCGTGTTTTCATATTCATCATCATCATCTTCTTCTTCTTCATCATCAATGAATATTGGACTGCCATCATTGCCTACAATAATAGTAGTTAACGTATTACACCATCTCAATAGCATCCATAATCCTTCTGCCTTCACAAACGGTACCACCAGATATCTCAATCGAGGACAATTGGAGACAATCAAGCGTGCAACCGAGGCAGTCAATTGATCAAAAGGGTTCAGTGTCAATGATAGCAGATCGGGTCCAAATGTTGGCAAGATGGCGTTACTTAGCGCACCTGGATGATGAAAATAGTGTGATATCTGTGTGAGCGTCGGTGGATCAACATCGACATCTTTTGGAAATACAAAACATGATGCACAACAAGGAAAGTAATGTACTGCTTTTGTTGTATCCAAATAGACAGCATCGTCTTCTTCAATCGGAATATGCGTCATCATGAAGCTGATATGAGAAGAATAATGAGGTATCAGCTCATTTAACTGACTTGGGAATAGGATACTTGCATGCATAAACTGAAGCCGAGGACATAGTTTAAATATGATTTGATATAATTCGTCAGGAAAGTATCTTGCTTGTGGTAACTTTATGCTGCATAAACCTTCTCCATACAACTGACAGAATGATATAATATTTTGTTCTGTAATGTTGATATCGGGAAAGATCACTTTTTTGTATACTCTTTGTCGAACAAGTTGAAATGTGTATTTACATACAAACAAATAAGGAATTAAGTCGGCTTGATTACTGAAACTGATGATTTGTGCTAATAGTTCATTTGGTAACAAGGACATTTAATATTTTCTAAAAGGAAAGTATATGATTCTATATACAATATACAGAAAATATTCTTTTTTAAGGGGGTAAGATAAAAGAGTAAAAGGGGGAGGAAAAGAGTTTTTATAAATGAGAAAGGAAAGAAGGAAGGAGAGAGTGACAAAGAGAGAGAGAGAAGGTGTTCACTTTCCAAAAGTTGAAACTGGCTGTGATTGAAAACAGTCATCACTTTATAGATATTTTTACTAGAAATGAGCATCTTTTTCCTTTTTTTTTTCTCTCTTTTTATTTATCAATCATCCCTAATCCATCGTTCTTGTACATCGCTGACATCTTCATGATAACCCGCTTTCATAGCTGTCAGCATGATAGATTCATTTCCTTCTGTTAATCCGCCAAATATAAATCCACCTGCCTTGTCTATCACTTGCTGAAGCTTTGTCATTGAATCTTTATCCTCCACACAAAGTGTATAAAATCCAACTAGTGAGAAATCTTCAATGAGTTCACATAGTGCTTCATTCAACTTTTTGAACTTTGAACCAAAGGCATCCTCATTTAATGATTCTAGTAGATAGGATAAATCCATGACCTCTGTATAATACTGCAAATTAAATCCTATTGTTTCCGTTAATCAATTGTATTCCAAAAATGAAAAAAAAAAAAAATTTACTTAGCTTGCCATAGGATTCAATTAAATCCACCTTGGATAACACATTGACATGAGGCAGTTCAAGTTGAATCATTGTCTTGAGGGCAAGTAAAAGCACAGAGATATATTTTGTAGGATCCGTGCAGTAATGAGCATCGACCATATTGACTGCCACCAGTCGATAGTTTAGTTTTTCCAAGGCATGTAAAATATCTTTGACAGCTGAGTGATGAGTAAATAGTTCGACTTGTCCAGGAAAATCAAATAAAAAGTAGTGATCTTTTTCAAGTTCTTTTAGTTGATCTGTAAGCCAATCCATATTTTTTAATAAATATTCAACACAAAACATGATGCCTCCATTAGGTCCTAATGAAAGTTCATTCATTGTGTCTTCAAGTGTAATAAGATCAGCAATATTAATGGCACAGGGATAGGGTATATTATCATTAGCTGGATCAAGGTTGACAATGGCTACTTTTCTTTTGAAGGATTAACATTGCTTCAATTGGCTGTTCTTTATAAAATACCTTCCAATAGCTGTCAAATATTGATAAGCGCCCCAGCAATATGTTGTCTTGCCTGATCCTGGAGGTCCAACTATAACCTAAGTACAAATTAGACCAAGAATAACTAGCCATGTTTGTCATTTTACTTGTCCAAAGGGCATTCTATTATTAATATTATTTATGAAAAGGCGTCAATACTGCTCCCCACTCAAAAATACAACAAAATAACAAGTCACACTATGCATGACACTTGTGTAATGTCTGCATATCCCCCTTTGAAAGAATCATTGTGTGTATATAGTAATGATCAAGTTGATGGATGCTTTTATTTTTCTTCAAAATGAAATCAATATACTGTAAGCCAAATCAAGACCCACAGCGCAGACAAAGTCAATAATGGAAGCTCGAATTTGAGCATCCTTGATGGCCTGTAGCAGATGCTTTGCAGGGAGCACTCTACCTTCTCCAATATACACCAATACGTTTGATAATACACTTTGTGTTATCTCCTTACGATTTAGCCAACCTGCGGTAGTATATTCTATGCCTTGGGCAAAGGTGACAAATTTATGCTTTGTAAACTCCTTTCTGAACTCTTGAATTGGATGCCAAGTATAATCAACCGGATCCAACAAGTCTGATGGCTCATATTGTCCTTTATAGTTCATTTTTGGACATGAGTCTATGTAATACCCTATTGTTGATCTTTCTTAGCAATGCTTTTTTATATGTCATTTATATGCTACTTTACCCATATAATAATACTTCAAGTCATCATCTTTTAGTTCCAAAACAAGACTCACTTCTCGAAACACGCTGTACTTTCCTAGTCCCAGGAATGAATAGTCAGGATCATACATAAAATAGACAGCAGATACGCAGCTAGGTAATATATCGATAACAGAGAGGGCAATAAGTTTGCCATCAAGTATATACTTTTGGTGAAATGATCCAAACGTAACATCTCCTTTTGTTTCCATTTTTAACGGTGAATCAATCAAAAACCGTCGAAATTTTCTTTCTGTCAATTCCTCTGGTTCGTCATGATGTATAGATATTTGGTACTTTTTATACAGTTCATGCTTCTCTTTTGTATACGAACTAGGCTCTAACTCGATCTATTATTATTTAATAACGCTGCAATAGAAAACATGTTACCTTGAGTTTATACTTATTATCCGTATGATCAGGAGCATGAACCCAATCCAGAAGGGATTTAGGTGTGCTCGCTTTAGGTTTATTCTTTACGTCTTGTTGCTCTTCTCTTTCTGGACTCCATGTGCCTTGGACATAACGATTGAATTTATTAAGCACTTTCTTTTGTCCTTTTGTTAATTTAAAATCCATGGCATGTAATCTATCGTAGAGTAAGTACATCACTTGCGGATGCTTTTTTCCTTTTTTATTTGCCTTATAGTGTACTGAGGACAGCATGTTCTTTCCATATCAGGTTTATACAAATAATGTCCAGACCTAAGATAAAGGGTAAAGATATTGCTTTTCTTTTTATTTTTGGCATATTTACCTTCTCCATCCTCTGTTGATGAGTGCTTGATAATCCTAGTTTTTTAAATGATTATTTTATATTCTACATGTTTTATGCAAAATATCTTACAGAGCAGGACATAAAGTGAGCCCAAATACCAAATGATTTGGACGTGTCTTTTCCATCACAATAACCACAATCGTGTTGGCTATCCCCACAGAGTGAAACTAAGGTAGATACGTGGTCTTTTAATAGATCGTATTCATCGTCACTGCTCATAAAAGTAAATACTAAAAAAAAGAAAAAGAAAGAAAGAAAGGAAAAATAAAATAAAATTTTGACACTTTTTTATAAAGCAATGAATTCAACCTTGAGAATATTTGATATTCCAAAAGAATTATTAGATAGATTAGAGCCAACTGAGAAACAAGTCGAACGCTTTATAAATGAAGAAGCGAATGAAGTGACAACTGAGGTGACAACAGAAGCCTTGGAAAGATTGCAGATGCTGCAAGAAGAAGGATTACGCTGCCGAACTTGTCAGACAACATTTGTTTCAAGAGAAGAACAAAGAGCTCATTACAGTACTGATTGGCACAGATATAACCTGAAAGTAAAGTTTCCTATTCGTCTTGAAGAATTTGAGCAACTGTTGTCAGGTACACACACATATATATATCGCGTGTACTGTTTCTAATATATCTCGATAGACTTAACCGAGAGTATTTCGGGATCAGAAGACGAAGACGAGGACGACGAGGACAAGGAACAAGACAAGGTGAATGCTATCCTGTCGAAACAGGAGCAAACTAAAGATAAAGAAGAAATTTCGGTCAAACCGACGATTGCACCCGAATTAAAAAAACATACAGCCTTGTCTTGGTTTAAAGACAAGGAGAGTCCTGATATGCATTACGGCGTCTATCGTCATCTGTTATCCTTATCCTCACTTGCAAGCTTTCAGCAGAAACAAAAGAAACGATACTGGACTCTGCTGATGGTCGGTGGAGGTCATTTTGCAGGCTGTGTCATTGACGTGAACGCAAGCTTATTATCGGATGTCAAGTTTATTGAACACAAGACGATTCATCGATACACAAGTAAAGAGAGAAGAAACAAATATTTATAAAAATTAACATAAATATTAGCCCGTCGAAAGCAAGGTGGAGCACAATCAGCCAATGATAATGAAAAGGGAAAAGCAAATTCAGCAGGTGCACAAATTCGTCGATACAATGAACAAATGCTTCAACAAGAGGTGCGACAGATCATTGCTCAGTGGCGAGAAAGGATCCAAGAGAGTGAATTTGTATTTGTTCATGCGCCTAGTGGCAATCGAAAGATTATATTTGGCTATGATGATGCTATCCTAGCTAGAGATAATACCAAATCGATACCATTCACTACTAGAAGGCCGACATTGAATGAATTAAAGAGAGTATTTATTGAATTGATAACAGTAAAGCTCATCCAAGTAGACGAAAGAGCGATCAAAGAGCAAGAAGAGAAAAAGAGGATACAGGTAGAGAATGCCAAGGCGTCAAAAGCAATAAATAATAAGAAAGAACCAGAAATAGAAAAGAACAAAGCAGATCCTGCCGTAGAAAGATTATTGGATATTGTCAAACAAAACAAAACAGCCATCACGTTGAATTATATCGAAAAGCATCCGGATTTACCAATCTCTGGAAGATTACCAAAGGAATTGATCAAGGAAGATCTGCGTCACTATCCAACACTATTACACTTGGCTGCTTCCTTAGGAGGCGCAGGTGATCTTGTATCGGAACTGATAAGGAAGTACGATGCAGATCCAACTATTCTCAATGATGTAGGCAAAACGGCCTATGAAGTCAGTAAAGATAAAGAAACGCGAAATGCATTTAGACGATGCATGTGTGACCTTCCTGACAAATGGAAATGGTTAGAAGAAGCGCGTGTGCCAAGCCCCCTTACGAAGGAGCAAGAGCAAGAGCAGATAGCAAAAGAAAAAAAGAAGCAAGAGAAAGAACAGGAAAAGAGGCGATTACTGGAAATAGAGCGCGCAAAGATGGAAGCTGCCAGAGAACAGCAACAACAACAGGATTTATCAAACAAGAAGAACCTTGCTTCCTCCAGTAGTAGATCATTGGGAGGAAATATGATGAATAGCGACGTAGTCAATATGTCTCCAGAGGCACGTATGCGACTTGAAAGAGAAAAAAGAGCAAGAGCGGCCGAAGAAAGAATGAAGAGATTGAAATAGCCAAATAAAATATGTGTCGAAATTTAAAAATCCTTGAAAAAGTATTTTTTTGGTCTGACAGCCTAAAAATATAAATACCTTAAAAATTACTGTAGAAATAACCTACAAAGACTCATCTGTAACTCATAACATTTAGAAGACGGTTTTATCCAACAAGATGAGATTTGGATTATTTTCTTAATATAGTAATTAGCAAAATCAAGGAATCAAAGCTTCAAAAAGCTATAAAAGAGAGATACACCTTTTATTCTACATCAAATCTCTTTGAAACTACTGTAAGCCCTATCCTTATGCTATGTTTTCTCTTTTTAGTATTTCTAAATAATGCACTAATACTCTAGTTTAACATGAATAACCAAATGAGCGATCGTCTTACTGTCAACGACGAAGGCGTTCAGCGCATGATTGACAACGATTCAGCTATGTACTATAGTAACCAAATGATCATTGCTCAAAATATGACTCATCGTCCTGTGAACACTATTAAGGCAAATTCGGCCAAGTAAGAAAGGTAGAAGGTAGTCTTAGAAATAATAAAGAAAAGATTTGAAAATTCAACTATGCTGGTTAAATATAGAAATGGTGCCTTGAACAGAAGTTTGGCGACGGAGAAATTGTCACTGACCAAAAGCTTAGCTATTTCATTGCAGAATATGTCATGGAGCGAGGCCGAAAGCTTAGAAGAAATCTAGATGGTATCTCTATTACTCTAGGCAGAGAGCCAGTCCTCGCCTATGTCAAAGCTATTGCAGTCATGTACAACAAGCAAAAGGCACTTGGCTTAAACTTCCATTGGTTTGCAAGAGGACCTCTCGTTAGAACTTTTCTAGGTACTCTCGAAAAAGAAAATTTCAAGAGTAAGAGGTAAAATTTTGAAGATCGAGGAAAAAATATATCGAGTGATGGCTAACTTCAATTATCAAAGTATATTCAAACCAAGATTCTATGTATAAATTTCAGTTTTCTTGAATTGCAATACGCCGTAATGCTATCCATATTAAATATAAATCCAAATGTGTCTGTTTTTCGTTTAAATGCTGTAGCATCAGTCGATATTTTCACTCCATCTTTGCAAACAAGCTCAAACATTTGCTCTCCATAGCTAGTCAGTAAGGTGTATAGCACTGCGGTACTCAACGGCAAGTACAAGAGATAATAATTGTGGCCTAGGACAGACTTTTATCGTATGCTTTTTATATCCAAGAATATCGAAAAGTATGTTTGATAAGATTATAAAAGGAAGCTGAGCAGGAATAGTGCATTGAAGCTCTTTTTGTGGAATGCATTGTTTTAAGAGCGAAAACAGCATGGAGCACACATAAAACTCCTTTTCGGATAAGTCGCTTATTTCAACATGTTGCTGTTGTATTCATACTTAGTGGATCAACTATTAACTACATATGAGACAATAACTGGCAATTATTCAATTTTAGCTTGTTACTTTGGAACAACTGTGTGGATCATTATTTAAGCTAATTACCAGGAACTGGGTTTTAAGGTACACATATCCAATGACTCTGATCCATCATTATTATTAGGGATCGTCGTTTTATCAAAGATACCCGACTCGTCCTAACTCTCTCATTGCCCTAATTATCATTCACAAGCCTCTATGAAAAGTTTTACGACCTCGGTTGAAGAATGTCTCACATTTAGTATAAATACTCGTCTTACTAAAGTCAATCGACATATATCTTTTAGTCTGGTTAATTCTAGTCTTTATTCTTTTTTTAATTGATACTTCGTATTCAACACTTGCTTGTTGATTGTTTCAGCGTCATGATTATAGAGAAGCAATTTGAGAATCCCCTTTAATTTTTCCAATCTTCTGCCAGATACGTTAACTTCATTATTTTCTTCTATAACTGTTTCAATATCCTGATCCATAGTATCAACCTTAGCTACTGTTTTCTTTCATTTAGGCTAAATGTAAAATATATACTTATTAACAGCATGGTCCGCTGTATCAAGTTCATATATTGCCTTCTTCTTCCATTGAAGTTCCTTAATATGTTTAATTTTTCTGGCAACTTTAGCTGCTTTACTCGTTTTGTTCTTCTCTTGATACTTTTGCAATTGTTTTCGATCTTTGTTGAGTAGAGGTCTCTTATTTCTGCTGAAAATGCTGTTTTCAATTACTACAGTGTGGCTTGTATCAGAGGTTGTTTGTAACTCGTTTATGAGTTTTCTTCTGCTTCTTTCCTTTTTAGGCCGGATATGCAGCTTCAACAATATCCTCAGCGTCTTTTCAATGGCGTTCTTCAGCCTTTTGCCGTTTTTATACATGAGATCTAAGTTGGTTGAAAACTGTGCGGTAACAGGCTTCTTGATTGTTGCATTGAAATCCTTGACTTCGGCAAAAATATACTGTACTTCGCCGTTGACATCGTTATCAATTGGTTGGGGGCTGTTTTCTGCTTGGCTAGTCTCTCCAGCTTGTACTTGCTCATGTGTACTTATACAAAGTGGATACTTAGCTCTTGCCTGCTTTTGAATCCTCACTGCACCAAAATTCAAAGTACTGACGACTTGCAAGTGATTTAAAGAAAAAATAGTCTTGTAGTCAGCATCATCGCTGCTTGCATTTCTGATTGGTGCCGGTAATACGACTGGTGCGGTGTCTCTCTGAAATTCACTTGGCATGATTGTATTCATTTCCAGAGGATTGCCGTCAGACATTGTAAATGTTGTCATTGTCAGTTGAACAACAAGGAAGAAAATACAAGCAAAATCAGAGTATTTGTAGATTGCAGAGCTAAGTTTTTCAATGATGGTAGGTCTTAACTCTACAGAGAGATCTTTACGCAAGACTTGATTGAAAGGTACTACAGCCACTTTCACTTGCTCTTCCGCTGATCCAGCGCTTGTTTCAGCTTCCTCTGGATCTGTTTCTTCATTAAGCATCTCCTTTACCGCATCAATTAAACTGTCAAAGTTGTCATGTAAGTAACTCTTGTATAGTAAGAGAGCATTTATTTTTAGACGTTTGGCAGTGTTGCTTGCCCAGTAGGGATGATACTGGGAGCCTAGTGCTTCGAAAGTACCTGGAGACGCTTTATTACGCTCTGCTTCTGTATCTCTTAAACTAGCACTATTGCTTTCGGACTCTTGTGTCATTAAAAAGATATTTTGTTGTAAGTCATATTGGATCATTTAACAGCCACGAATTAAGCACTGGTTATAGGCCGCAATGAAAGAATGGCAACCATTACGAGGCTTTTATTATGGGAAAAATATAAATAGACAAAGAAGAACTTTGGAAATAAAGACTAGAACTGTAAAAGATCGCATAACTTCCAAAGAGCGACAATTTGTACTTAAAGGCTCGAAAAGGTTTCACCCAGTTATGGCAATCGGGAATCAAGGATTAGGAATTGACAGCACTATCAAGGGATATAATTGTAGAGGAAACAAATGACTACATAGAAAACATGAGCGCCATGCAGTCACCATAATCACCAATGAATACATGACCTCTCAACTCTGTATTTACTGCTACCACCATCTTGCTCATCCAGTCTTGGGCACATCACGCTGCTTAAACCCAGATTGCCCAGCTCTCAAGTGCGGAAGAGCTACTAGCAACAGAGACGTAATATCAGCCACAGCAATTAAAATTTCAGCCATGACAAATATAATACTCAAGAAGGACCTTCCCCCTTTTGTCCAAAGCTCAGCCTACAACTTTAAAAACAAAACACATATATACTTTTGTCCCGCTCACCTGCAAAACACGCACTTCTATAAAGCAGTGGTGCGACGAGCTGGTTTCATAGCGCAAGCTATTTGATTACCATTGGGTAAGTAGAAACCAGTTCATATATGATTCAGTTTAATACTAATGATTTTTTCCTTTTTTAGAATTTTGATATTTACCCTCTCAGTAAATTGTGACTTTTGTTTCTTTTAAACACACATACGCATACACACACAAATATATTTATTCTTTTTTTTTTTTAACTTGTAATCTCATGAACCAATCCAACTTGTTACATTATGACTTGGCTAGACACTCAACTAAAGATACCATAAAAATGCTTACCTTCCTACTCGAAAAAGTGACTAGAGCAAATGACCAACATCAGCCATCAGGAGAAAGAAGAAAGAGTCTTACATACACTTGTTTCCATGCACGGTCCATTCCGAGTATTTCGATACATGCTTACTTGACACGTATACTAAAATACTGCCCTTGTGCGAATGAATGCTTTTTGGCTTTACTTGTCTACTTTGATCGCATGTCTAAAGTGACATTGGGCAAACAAAATACTGGATTACGCATTGATTCCTATAATATTCATAGATTGATCATCTCTGGCATCATGGTAGCAAGTAAGCTATTCTCTGATGTTTTTTTCACAAATACTCGATATGCAAAGGTAAAAGATAGATACTATAACATACTTTGTAATAACAACATAATGAGGTGGGTGGATTGCCTGTAGCAGAGTTGAACACACTAGAGATTGAGTTTTTGGCTCTCAACAACTTTTCTCTTTTTATATCATTGGAAGAATTACAGCAATATGGGGATCAGTTATTGACGCATTGGAAGATGGAGAATGAGAATATTCCGCAATATATTTGTACAGATGACAACGATAATAAAGAAGAGGATATTTCGCCCGTCAAAAGAAAGGCTAGACATCTATCCATTGACAAGCATGACGATATTGCATAAAATCACAATCTAATTTTCTCTCGAATTACCGTCTTGGCTTCATCTGGCATGACAGAAGACACCCAATTTTGATCATTCAATAGTGAAATATCACCTTTTCCTATTTTCTATTATATTATTTATTGTTATTATATTCAACATTAGAAGAACCTCATCTTTTTTCTTTTCTTTTCTCTTTTACCTCTGAAATATCATTAAAGTGCGCCTCCTTGGATGTATATTCCCTTATAAAATATGGATTGCCGAATTCATGATATAACCTTGTATCATTAATCCTAAATAAAACATTGTCTACTCTCATAAAGAACCTCTGTAGTACCAAAAAGCAGCTTGGCATCACTCTTAGTCGAATAGTCAACATGGCTGTGCCGTTATCTGCTAATTCATCTTCATAAAGTATGTTTTCATCGTAAAATAATATGGGTTCAGGTCGTTTTAATCGTTCAATGTTGATCATTGATGTCGCAGAGGATTCAAAGTGAGCTGAACAAGTTCCTCTGTAGTCTGTTGTATAACTCCAATCATACGGTTTGACTACATCTTTAATATCTGTATGATTCATGGCACTATATACTCATTATTATCCATCATTTCTCTTCATCAATCTAATTACCTTTTACGTGTCCATTCTTCTGCATAAGCTACTTTTAAATTCTCACTACTGGTAGAACTCGTGTCGACCTTAGATAATGCATCGTATGCAGTAAAGCATATTTTAAAATCCCCTTTCTCTAAGCTAATCAAGTTATTGCCAAACACCATTTCAGGAGGTGGTAAACCAAAGTCTTGTTGGATTCTGTTTTGTTTTTTGATTAGGCTTTTTTGATATCAAATTCAACAGACTCACTTTTCCATTTCACTTGAACTACATATCGGTGCCTTTTTACTTATAATCTTCCAATCGTGTAAGACGATACCTTGGGTTAAACCTTCTCTTATGGTTCCTTCTTTAATGTAAACAGGCGATGTCGCATTGACTGACATAATTAAAGAAAAGAAAGAAAGAAAGAAAGAAAAAAAATTGGTGTATTCATAATCAATCTAAAGCGGATTTTATTTTATAAAACAATGGATGTTCTTTTGCTTCTGCGTACACCTTTCTCTTTAATGAATGTTTTGCTACTTCAATATCTGTCTTAATATCAGTAATCAGAGCACCTAAACGCATGTATATATAAGCATACACTCCCTTATATAGTTACTGTTGTATTTACCAAGTGAAGGATAATCCTGTTCAGGTCGAATATATCCCAAGACTAACACACGAATAGACTCATCATAAAAATCCTCAGGAAACTCATGAATAATGTGTACTTCCTACAATTGCATGTTATTGTCTATATTTAACCCTCCCTCTTTCTCTCTATTGTTTACAGCTGATCTTTTTTCATTTTGATAATAAGGGTTCCAACCTAAGCTCATAACCATGGGATAAACTTGGGTTCCAACCTGTCCAATTTGTGCCCAACCATAATAAATACCAGTCTCTAAGCCAGAGATAAGAGCATCAATAGCCTCTTCAGATAGGTTGGCTTTATAATATATATAAGTCTCATATTTACACACAACATATAAAGTGTATATATATATATATATTATACCGGTTGGAATGCCCAATTCTCTTGAACCTCGGCCATAGCCTTTTACGACAGTACCTGTCAAAGCAAAAGGAAAAGGCTCTTTGGGAGTTTCTGGGCCAACTAAAAGAGGACGATCTGGATTAATGTTGACACTATTCATCTGTGTTTATTGAAGGTGTGTAGAAAAAATAACCACAGGGCAGGTCCAACTACAGTATGTACATATTTTGAATTTATGATTGGCCAGCTGAGATTTTTTCTTTCCTCATCCTTCATTCATGGCAATCAGCTTAGACACAACGCTGGCAACGAAGCAATAACTTTTTCACTAAGGATACGTTTAAACTGACTTATATTCGCAAGTATTAAGAATAAAAAGACAGATGCAAAAGATTATAGTGAAAAAAGTTATTGAAGAAAGATCTAAATAAGATAGTGTTGTATCTTTTTTTGTATGAAGCAGTAGGCATTAGATGAGGTGAAGATAGATAACCAAAGTTATTATCATTACATGACTCTTGCATAAAAAGTAATAATATGAAAAATACTTGCTGCATAAAGAGAACACCAAATCGTGGCTTGTATTTTTTTTTTTTGGCTGGTGCACAAGTCCACTCTCTTTCATTAATTTGTTCTCAATGCCTTTTTCTAATGTCATCACTTATTCCACCATCACCAAGTCGTAGAAGAAGATATGAAGCATTAAAACAGATATCTTGGACACTGGACAACGCAGAAAACCGCGTAGCTCAATTTGATACGCCAGGAACGGATGAGACAGCAAGTGAAGACGATATGATTGTCGAGTATGAATTAGTAGACGACCAAAATTATATAGCTTACCAGGAACTTGAGGAGGATGAGGATATGCAGATGACACGGGAAATTAAAGACGATGATGTTGATATGCAACTAACACAAGAAATTACATATAATAAACCTGTCAAAGATGCTGGTATGCTTACAACTTGCATTATAATTAGTATCTCCAGGTTGACACTGTATTCAGTAGTAATACAAGAAACAACAACCACAAAAGATAAACCTAGCCTAGAAGTAAATATATACAGTCTCTTTTCTTTTTTTTTTTCTATCGATACTTATTCAATGACTAGGACTCTGAACAAACCACCTTGGCAGACTTTTTGGAAATGGCAGGAATAACATTTCCAAGACAGATACCCCTTAACGACATTGTGCCTATATCGATAGTGGACGTTGATTATGGTGTGTTACCTTATTATTCATAATGATTTCTCTATTCACCTTCCTTTGTTATAGAATCACCAACCATTGCTGAGCAAGCGGCGGCGGCAGCATTTACACTTCCTCAAATTGATATGTATGATTCTGTATGTGTAAAAATAGGAAAGAAGAACTAAAGGGAGGTTTACTAATAACATATTTCTCTCTTTTAGATATCCAAAGAAATACATTCTTTAATTGATACAAGTCAAGACGTTATACAGAAAGTGGAAGATCGAGTGAATAGGACCAGCACAGAGTTCTTCTCAGACTACTTACGTGCAAATGCTAGTACAAGAATAACCATGGAGCCAGAATATAGATTGACCAAACAATATGCTGAACTCAAATCACTAGAGCGATGGTATGAGTGGTGTGTAAATATATTTGTGGAACATTTTGGAACACTTAAAGGTCATATAAACACATTGACTCAGGACAGACAAACGCTAGCATCCTTGGAAGACGAACTACGCGGGCAATTACCAAAAATAGTCGAATATCAGCAAGGAATATCTCAATTACTTGCAGAAGCACACGAAATAGAAAAAGAGTATCGTAGGTTTGACCATAAAAAACTATCTAGAATGAGAGATGAAATTGAGCATCAACGGTATGTATAAATAATGATATAACTCATAAGAGCGACATTGATAGTTATCTTATAGTCAAACTATCGAGCTGTTTAATAAAGATCTGGAAAATCTGGGAGCAGAAGAAGCTGAGCTTTTTGAAAGAATAGACATGTTGGAGCATCGCAAGTCGAGACTGATAAAGGTAAATAAAATAAAAATCATAAAGCAACACGCAGCAGTTGTTTGACAATTTATCCTAGGATATTTTAGATGCAAGGGAAATAACTAGCGTGAATCATATAATTACAGAAAATGATCTAAGTCAAGTTCGTCAACATTACGAAAGGAGCTGTAATGTTGGAGGCTTAAGGTTATTAAAAGATAATGAAGATGACGATACATTAGAGATACTTGTTACGAAATGCCTTGTGTTGACAATTCATCGTAATGACCTAAAAGAGAGAAAAGAGGATGCAGTACTGTTTCATATCAAGAACAACAAAATTAATGGGTATGAGTACATTGCACACTTTAGGCGTGGTCTATCTGCTATTGTGAAAAGTAACCAAGACACAAACCGAGTAAGATAGACGTTAACATATAATGAGTAAATACTTAGCATTTAATTAGATCATTCAGGAAATTACAATGTATTGGAACAGAGTTCAAATGCTTGTTGATGTGCTGAAAGAGACAGAATTACGGTTCGCCACAACGATTTATCCTATTGAAGCAAATGAAGATATTGAATCGGGTATTAGCTGTAGCATAGATGTAGCAAGCAAAAAAAGAAGACAAAAGATAGCAATAAAATTCGACATAAGAGTGAGGGATATACTACAGTTTCCGTTCATCGATGACTCTTCAATTCAAGTAAAAGTCTGTTTTAATCCTCTGATGTAAGTTATAATATAGATGCTTTATTTTATATATGTGCTTACATGAAATAGGGAAAATGAGATTGAAGGACGATTTAAAGAATATTTGAATGAAAATGGAATATTAGATTTAGTGGATGGTATTACGTCTTTACTGTAACAAACTGCTTTGTTTGACAGAATTTGTCAAAGTCATTAGCTTATTTAATGTTGATTGATTATCCTTTTTATGTAATGCCTTCTCTTTCTCGGATTTAAGCTTCAGTGCTTCTATCCTTTGTCGATGATAGTCGCAAATATCATCTTCATTTATACTTGTGGGTATCTGTCTACATATAGAACTAATAGGTATATAAGGAGTGTCCCAAACAATTTTCTTTGTTTGATCTACAAACTGCTGCATGGCTTCATACTCGCCTTCTAATTCTTTTGTTCTATCTACAGCTTCCTTTATACTGCATTAGTGCCTATATCACAGTTTAATAAATCACATCTTACTTCTAACTTTTGTACATCATCACATTTCAAGTCTGTTTGTATTCCTTTATTAATATATTCTCTTTCCAAGGATTGAAGTTCTTCAATATCGCATCTTGATTGACTAAATCCTTGCTCTGTCTTTGTAATCTGCTCTTCCAAGTTTTTCATTCTGGTTTCAAATTCTTGTTTTATTAATTCACATCGTTCTTCTACCCTTTGTAACAACATCTTCCCTTCCTCGTTATCTTCTTCATTGGTGAAAAAGGATTCTTCATATAAGCTATTATGTCTCGCTAACTCTTCTTCAGTTAGAATGGTTCCTTTTAATATAGGCTCAGATTGAGCTGACCTCTTGTCACTGATTTTATTGTCTAAAGTAAGACGATAACATAGTGTTATATACATATATAGTATCAACTAAAAAGCCGCGCCTATACTCTACCATACGCTATACGTGATCTTGTAAGATCTTGCAAAGATAAGTATCCATCAAAATCCCTATCAACGCTTGGATGGTTTATACTTTCGACATCAGACCTGTAATTAACTGAATCTCTAGAAGAAACAGACATGCTCTTTTTAGATTAAGCAAAAAGGAAAAAGAAGGAGGGGGAGAAAGGCTCAGGAATCTTAATTGTCAAATTTAGATTATGCTTTTTGAACTCAGTTGTGTTCTTTGTTAGGTACGACGATTGCATGGAGGCATAAGAACACACCAATGTAGACCTCCTACAATGGAACACTTCTAGGCTGGCTGGCCATCTTTGCTTTAAAAACAAGTCTATTAAAAGTGTGGTGGTAAGAGCCATACACGCAGATATTGGCACAAGTGTTAATGGTTTATCTGCTATGCTCATTCCTATGTTTTAGAAAAGTAAACAAAATTGAGCCTCACTTACAAACTGAGAATAGAACCCAAATGCCTTCCGTATAACTTTTAGGCATTCCTTAATACCAAATAGAAATAATACGGCAACACCAACAGAAAATCCGCCAATGTCTACTTGTTTTAACTATTTTTTATCTTTTTATATTTAATTAGTAGAACTGTGTCCTCATCTTTGACGCAGCTGATGTGGAAATATTATAAACACTTCTATTGGGCGTTCTCCATCTTGAAGTGCTCTCATTGTTGTTGCGAAGTGGTGTTAGTAGATTCAAATCGAATAGTATGTCATCTTGAGGGAAGATGCCCATTTGTCTTCTAGGTGATGCGTATGGCCTGGGAGGTGGGGTATTCATCCCGTCGTGCATAAAAGCAGAGGGTGGTTCTTCATTATTTAGATATGCTACAGATTCCAGATCGTATAGCAGTGATGATCCTTGATCATCATGTTCATTATTTTCGAACGACTGCTTCATTGTTTCTTGTCGTATTTCATTATTAGACTTATTTAATTTGTGGTCGCTACGCTCAATGTCTTCGTAAATTTGCTGCATCTCCTGTACGAAGGAAGGCTCACTTTGCTTTCTAATCGGTGTGCTGCTGTAAGGATGTGTTCTTATAGGCGTGTTGCTACGAGAACGTGTTCTTATAGGACCATCGTTGTTGGAATATGAGCTTCTTCTTAACGACTTGGTAGGAGATTGCTCGTGTATAGATAGGTTGCTGTAGATATGCGCCCTTGTTGGCGTGTGGATACTAAACGCTTCTTTCTTTGGTGTACTACTTGTATAACAAGCATTTCTTATAGGTGTATTGCTATAAGGATGCCTTGCAGGTGAAGCGAGAGGAGAGCGTGTATATACAGGGGATCTACTTTGGAAGAGCGTTCTTATTGGCGTACTACTACTGGGATAAGCCTCTCTTTGCGGAGAGCTGATGGGAGAACGTATTTGCAAAGGAAGATCGTTGTGAGAAATCGTTCTAACTGGTGTGTTGCTATTGGGATAAACTTCTCTTTGTGGCGAGCTCATAGGAGAGCGCGCGTGTAGATGCAAGTCGTTGTGAGAAATAGTCTTTATTGGTGAATTGTTATTAGAAAGAGTCTCTTGTTTGAGTGAATTGATGGGAGAATGTGTATGCAAAGATGAGTTGTTGTGTTCTCTTACTGGCGTACTGCTACTAAGGTAGGTATTTCTTTTGATTGGAGTGATAGGGGAGCGTGTATATATGGGAGAGCCGCTTTGAGAAATTGTTCGTATTGGTGTACTGCTGTTGGGATATACCTCTCGTTTAGGCGTTTCTGGAAGAGGTGATCGTATGGTACTACGTTTAAGCAAAAGAAGTTGTGGCAGCTTTGGTAGAATAAACAACGAATCTGGGTCTTGTGGTGAGATTATCATTTGAGCAAGCTTTTTGCCTAATGAATTTGCTGTTTTCGACTTTGATAACTTGGTCTTTTGAATATAGTTTAGCGACTTCTCCAATCGAATCTTGAGTTCCTCACACTTTTTGCTATCAAGTGGCTTTGGTAAGGCGTTATCAAGCTCATCAACGATCTTTAATCCTTCTTCTCTCCACTCCTTTTTTAATGTATTGATACTTTGCGTCTTTTCAACAACTTCGTCTGAAAGATTCTGTATTTCATTTTCAAGTGTTTCCTTGTCTAAGAAATCCGTTTTTATCTCTATATATAATAAATAAATTAGCTTCTAGTACAGTTTATTCATTCACTTTTACCTATTGCATGTGATAAGACGGTTTCCAGCACTACAGTAGAAAAAGCCAGCATGACATGACCCATGATTTCACCACGATAATTATCAAAGTAACTTCTTCTTAATGGAATATGAGCCAATATGCTATGCTTCTTTGTTTGCCTAATATCTTGCAACAGTCGAAAGGCAATATTTACATATTCACGCGCCTGTTGCTTGGTTTTAGGTGGGAAACAATCTTTAAATTCCTTTTTCGCAAGTGATTTATCATAGCAGCGGAATAAGAAGTAGCTAGTCACTTCAAAAGATCTGTTATATAAAACGAATGTGCTAGGATCAACAGCTACTTTAGAGTAAATTCCTTTGCAATGAACGCTTTGGTCAAAACCAAGAGTCTTTAGATTAGACAAAAATACGATAACAGGTGAAAAAAGCATAAATTGAATTATAAGTCACGCTGGAAGATATTTAAAGGGAAATTAAAGATAAGAATACACACAGCTTGTGGGGAAAAAACGAGTGATATTCTCTTGATCTAGTGGTCATCTTTCTCTTTCTCTTATAATGTGTGCACTCTACATGACTACAAAAGATATAGTGACCTTTATTGATATATCAAAGTCAATTACATTAGTAAATTAGATACTAACAATGTACAGCCTATCACCAAGATACTTATAATGCCTTATCTTTCTTTGAGAGCATAAGCCTCCCATATCGGGGGACTAATCACCTTTTTTGGACACTTTGAACTGAACGCGTATTTTCTTACCCTTTTCCCTTTTTTTTGGTATTCCTAATTATGTCCGATCGTCGTTCCAAGCTTTTAGCATTAGCTGCAAAACGTAAACTTGAAGAAGAAGAAGATAATGATGATAATAAGAAACCAGTGAAGGCCAGCAAGGCTTCCAAAGAAGCACGGTAATGATTGATCAGATTATGAATTATATGATCTCTAATTGATTATGTTCTTTATTGTAGTAATGTCAAGCCAAAGAAAAGATACGAAGATACTGAGGAAGAGGAAGAAGAGGAAGAGGAAGAAGAACAAAGCGGTAAATAGGAAAAATACAACGAAAGAGATCTGGCTTCAGTTATCTTATTTTCGTATAGAAGAAGAAAACTACTCAGAGGAAGAAGCTAGACCTAAAAAGTCATCAAAGCCTAAAAAGAAAGCTCCTAAGAAGAAGCCCTCCAAGAAGAAGCAGACAAGCGAAGATGAAGGCTCTGAAGAGGATAAAAGCGATGTAGAAGGTACACACATAGCTTATTAAAAAAGAGAGAGAAGAATGATTAACCTCGTTTAATTTCGTATAGAGGATGAATTAGAAGCCCTCGATACTAGTGTAATCATTCCTGGTGGAAGAAGAACCCGCGGAAGAAAGGTTGATTATAAACAGTTTGGTGCAGACCCTGAGGATGAGGAAGAATAAATTTTGTTTTATTGTCATTATGTATTACAGGAGGGAATAAACAGTGGCTTTTATTATTCACATTCAATTACACATCTTGCCTCCTTATTACAAGATCCTATTAAGTATTTTGTATAATAACTATACATGACATAGTCTAGTAAAGATATATTGTAGGTAAACCATAGTTTTATTGAATTTTTACATCTATAAGTGTGGCTTTATTTACAGGAAATTTAATAAAAATATTGTTTAATGGAAGAAATACTGTGATTTCTTGACTTCTTTGATATCAAATTCACCTCTTGGCGGCAGTGGTGCAAAAGTCAATGGCTCCCAGCTATATTCATACTTTCTTGCACTAATCTTCTTCTTTTCTTTTGATTTTGATTTATCTTCTTCATCTTCGTTTCCTACACTATCAACCTCATCCACATCATCAACAGTAACATCATTTTCACTGGCTTCAATACCAAAGATGGCCTTGAATGCGTCCTTGTTTTCTGTTTCTTTGTTCTGCTTCTCCTTTTTGAACTCTTTTTCTAATACATCTGGGTTACCAAATAGTGTTGGTCCAACAATCTTCTCTTCATCCTCATCAACAATTCTGTGTTCTGAAGAACCAATTGGTTTAACAACAGGAACTCTGAAGTTCTTGTAACGTTCTTTGAATTCATCCAGCAAATTCTCCATAATAGGCTGAGAGTGAAGCTCGATAAACTGATCACGAATAACTTCATTCATTGCATCTACATCACAAGCATGAGTCCAGTAACTGTCGTGGACGGAGGCAAATGTCATGCCTTTTTTATGGCAGGCGACAGCAGACATAAGCATATGTGTTGCATCCAAGGAGTGAATAAAATTTGGAGGGAACGCAGTACTTTGCTTCATCGCGTTGACTGGACGAGTTGCATCAGGATCTTCGATAAAGACTGTTTGTAACAAGGTTGTAACCTGTCTCTTTCCTGATCGACGATAAGGCTGAACAATAGGAAGACCAAGTGGTGTTGTCCAGATGACAGAAGTCATTTGATTCGCTGAAGGAGAACGAGCAGAGATGACCTTTGAGTTCTTCTTCTTCTTTTTTGGTGCTAAGTCTGGCTCATTTTCAAGTTTGACAACACCGGCTTCTACCAGAGTCTCCAATGGTACACTCTTTGCGATACGTCTTGCAGAGTCCGTCAACCAATCCTGAATTTGTCGGGCACCGTTAAACATTTCACCCAGAGAAGAGAAGACGAGTTTGGCTAGATAACACGCCAAGGGGTATATCTTATCTTGTGGAATAGCAGGATTTTCCTTCAATCTTGCTTCAATCTGAGCACGAGCACCAACAAAGGTGACACCGTATACGTTTGTCATAACAGTTTGCTTGACCACCTTTCGACTGACATTTCCTTTCAAAAGTATAGCATATTCATCACCTTTCTCGGCTGCTTCATTAATACACTTGTTAACCATATCTGCTACACCCGTATAGACATCAGCAGGACGATCACCTGCAGATAAATTGACAGCTCGAGCACCAGCTAAATCACCACCCAATGCGGCATAATGTTGAAGACCGTTACATGTACCATCCTGGTGGATAGGTAAATGGGAGTTGAATTCTTCAGGTGATCCACTACGGACGGCTGCTGCTATCTCATAGCATGCAGCCAGACACTGCCATGGTGAGTCTGCCTTCAGCCACCATTTGCTACCAGTTAAAGGGTTATCAACGGCATCCATAATGTTTTCGATATTATCCATAGTAAATTGTTCTCGCTCGTTGAATGAGTGTTTGTCATAGCCATACAAGTTAGCCAAGTGGATCTTTAACCATCTCCAGCCCCTTTCACCTAAAGGCTTTGCTTTTTCAAAGTGTAACAATCCACGACAGAGATCGTTGCCCAAATGGTTCAAAGTGGGAGGAATAGGGTATGCACGACCACGGAAATCCATATTATGAGGGAAGTACATGGGAAGGTTCAAGAAAGCACGGGCGGTTTCAACTTTGTAATTCACATCACATCTTAAAGAATGGTTGTTCTTTTCCTTCGTTTGGATCTGTTTGACTTTAGATACCCAGTTGAACTTGGCTTTAGGATCCGTATAGTAGTTTTCAGGCTTAGGTGGCAGCTCTGGAGAGCCTTTTACTGCAGGAGGAATACCTGCAATTTCGTCTCCTGTATTCCAAGCCTCAAGCACCACTTTAAACACGTCCTTGTTTACTTTCCAACAAGTGGAACCCAACACATCAAGGCCAGCCAAGACATCTTTTAAAAGGTCCCGTTCGGAGGCTTTATGAAGATACATTAATTGCTCTGCAGATTCTTTGACTCTCATGCAAACTGACTTTGCAGAAAGATAGCCGCCAGAAGAGTAAGTCAACCATGGACGAGGAGGAACTAGCATAGGTAATAAACGAGGATGAAGGGTATCACGAATAGGTTCACGGGAGAGCATCTCTGTTAGTTGTTCGGCATACTTGATAATACCAACACGTTTACCAAGTACGTATTGGTAAGTATGGAAAAACGCGGGTATGTTTTCAACACTACAAAAAGAAGAGGTATTAGAAACCTTGGCAACACATGCATTATAAGTTGCTGCTATTTACATTTTCTTTCCTGTTTCTGGATCTCTACTAGGAACCGGAATCTTTGCAGCTTCCAGGAGTAAACTTGTTAACACGCTACCAACCTTTGCACGAATCGAACTTGGCCAAACAGGATTCCATACTTTAGCCTCATCATCGATAATAGTTTCTCTTTTTGTTTTGAGAGCCATTTGAAACTTTTTAGTGCTTGTGAGGACCTGCTTCAACTCTTGAGTTGATCTAGTATTCTTCTTCATCTGAATTGCATTGTACTCCATTTCTACTGCTTTTCCCACATCTATAATAGCACGAGCTGTTTTCATACCATCGCTAATACCAGAAGAATTGTGAAGTCGTAATAGTTCTAAAATGGTGACCATGGAAAGTGTTTCTTTAGGTAGGAGTTTCAAAAACGGTCCATAGGTGCGTCGTTCTGAATCACGGCCCTGGAGATTGTCACAACGTTTGATTTCTTCTTCGAGTAAAAGTACCATGTTTTGATGCCAGTTCCACATAATTCTCTTGAGTGGTGTCAAATGCATGGCGCTCAATACATCTCCTCTCTCCAGACTCTGTTCTCTGGTATATAAAAGACGTTGTAAAGCCATTTCATAACCTTGTCGTTCTAGAGCCAATTGAAGCTCATAAGGTTCCATGTTCAAAGTCGCCTTTGGGTCACGAAGAGCAGCCAGTTGCTGTTGAAGAAAATGAATACCAATTGAATCCGTTGGTTTTGCTTCAGGTATGTTTTCTATTTCACGGCTGATGCTGACAGTATCCGTCGTTGTCTTTGCAGTGTCCTTCATCAATGGCTCCGCTTGTTTACCCAAAATTTTATCCGTAGCAGTCTCCAATTGTTGTAAAAGATTTTGTACCTCAACCACAGACGATCCTTGACTTTCGTTAATCAGCTATTACAATTCGGTGAATAAACATTATCTTCAAGTTCCCATGACGACTTACTTTTCTAAATAATGCAATATCGGACTTTGTCAAAAAACGGGATTGTAACATTTCCTCAACTGTGATTCCATCTGTTTCTGTCATTTCCTGAAGCAAAGCTCTTGCTGTATGAAAACTGTTTGATCTATATACCAACAACCATTTAGTCACCTTTTCTTTTAGATTATTTCCTCTATATACCTTATAAACCCTTTTACAATAATTGCATAAGTATTTGCATCTGCCGTCATATCATAAGATTTCATGTTATCGAACCACAGTAAACATTGCCTTGTCATTGGCTTTGGAGTGTCTATGAAGCCATTCAAGAATGTATTGTAAAGATTGATATCACCAAAGAGTCCCATCTCATCCTTCTTTGTTTTATATAATTCTGTCATAATACGCTCAGCTCGAACCATATCGCCATTACTAACACAGGCTTCCAATACAGCAAACTGCTCTGCAATACTAGAAGGCAACTCTTTAGCCGTTACTTTGTAGGCTTCTCCACCGGGCATAGGGAGAAACACATGCTTGCTATGTGGTATATGTTCGTTTACTGTGTCAATTCTGGCAGTTGCTGAACTTGTTGAATAGAGACAAGGTCGTAGTAAGGTGAATGTACTTTTTGGCAGAGTGTGTCTTAATATATGTGCTCTCTTGCTTTTTACTGCTTGTCTTGCGAATGATAAAGACATGTCTATAGGTTATGCCAAGTGATCGATGATCTTGAATATGTTAAAGAATGCTTGAAGATATTTATGTTACTACAGCTACTAAAAGTGCTTTTATAATATGCAAAGTTATATAAAAAAAAGAGAGAGAGAAAGAGACAGCAAGAGAGTCAAGTGTCAAACAAGAAAGAAAGAAAAAGGACCAGGTTACTGTGCAAAGAATCCCCCTCTTGCAAGCACAAAAAAAAAAGTGACCTGTATTTCTGTAACCATCCAATTTTAGCTGTCACAGTCGATGTTTTAACTTTAAAAGTACACCAATTACAATCCCAGACAAGCGGAAAAAGTTTTTCAAACCATCAAAAGTAGTAATACTGACAGGGTATTTAATAAACAATAGATTTCGCTTGCTTTACTAGAGAATCACTCTGAAAAAGAGCTGGATCCTTTCTTATGTTTTCAGATCCAGCATTTTCAACAATAAGCGGACCTTTCTTTTCTATATTTCAATTAGAGCTTCCGAATAATATTATTCTGTCGTGTGTAAATGCAGAATTTTAAAGACATGTATGAAGACCACACTTTATACACAAAAAATCTTAACAGCATGTAATTATTGTACATTGAAGCATATGTTTTGAAGAAGGCCCTCTTCTTCTGCCATTGTAGCACTTCATTCGGGAAGTATAAGCATTTTTTATATGCCCCTTTTCTATCGTTGGCATTGTTGTATTTGGCTGACTACAATTTGAATGAGAAGGAAGAAAATTTAGAGAACCTATGGACGTGGAGTCTATAGACCAAAAAAATCGCTTGGGTCTGCTCAAAGGGCCAGGACAGACTGAGGAGAGGAAAAAAAAAAAAAAAAAAGAGAGAGAGAATCTCGAGCGTTGTCATGGTGAACGTCTGGATTATATGAATCATATGAAACTTTGCCAAGACGAGAACCAGAGGATGAAAGGATTCTTGATCAATGCCCTAAAGAAGTGACTGAGTGTGTAGTGTGTGGTTAAGGTATTCAACGTCCTATAATGACTATCTACCCTTGCTTTCATCTGACAGTTATCACTGGTGACTTTGGGAAGGACTTATGTGAGAGCTTGTTCAGGTAAAAGAAAGCCGAATCATTAATAGAAAAGGGAAAGACCCAAGTGGCCGTGTGTGTAAGATGATGGTCGCCCATATGTGGATAGCTGGGTTTACCACTGTGATACCAGCCAAAGCATCAGCTCCTAGTACAGATAAATATAGGTATCCATAGGATGATCCAGCCAAATGAAATAGTTTTGACCCAAGACGGCAACTGGATCTGAGCTTATTTCGTCGACCAAATCAGAAAAAGGTTTTCAACGAAAACTTAAAAAAAATAAAAAAAAAATAAAGCAAATGAGATTGAACTTTTGATTAAAACACTTTTTTCTTTTAATGAAATGAACCAACATTAAACTTAACCATGAATAAAGCGAATACCAAACTATTGCTCTATTATTTTATCTCCACATAAGGCTTATTTTTATCCATTTCATGCACTTACGTATTCATATTCTTTTTCATGGTTATAAAAACTACTTTTCTCGTCGCCCAATAAATCATATATTTGATAATACCCTCCATCCATGACAATAAGAGACTGCCTGAAGTATGTCACGTACCTTAGCAACTATTCTGTTTCGAGCGCCATTTGAAATAGTTTATGCAGACTTAGAAGGTCCATTGCTTTACTATAAAAATAAACATATAATCATCAAATCTATTACAATCATAATTGTCGCTAATCCTAGCCTACATTTCACAAGCAGAAGGTAAAAGGATAAGGATATAGCAACAGGGAATAGAGGATAAACATTTTACCTTTTACCTTTTTTTCATGTGCATTAAAAATAAAAACATTATACACTCTTATGTTTTCCTAAGCCAGCAACTCAACCACTTATGTTTCATGCTTTATAAACAGGTTTTGATATGTGAAAGCTAGGACGATTTGATTTTGATTCTTTTTAGCGAAAAATAATAATTCGTTATTACTTTTATGAGACAAGCCAGAGTAACTAAACAAATAGATCAATCATGATTGATTTTCTTTCTTTGATTGACAAACAACAACTGTAATGGAATCAATTGCATGTGTTCCACAGAATCGCAGTCTAGCGCTCTTTGAGAAAAGTCTTATTTTTTTGTTTACTATCAGCTGCATTTTTAAAGATGTCGTACCTCCCAGTATCTTTCCTTGTACATTTAATTGTCACCTTATTTTTTTTATTTTTTTTTTTACTCATTCTTAAAGAAAACAACCAGAAAAATAGAAAAACGCATATTGGAAATAAAAAAAGCGAAGTAATCATAATAAAAAAGAAAATCATGTGTGTGTATGTGTGCATGAGATCAACTTTATGTAAACAAGCTGCCTTGCAAAAGAAAAGGGTCCATGAAAAAATTATGCAAAAAAGGGGGGAGATGCTGGGATGCTCGGATGTGTTCTAATATGGAAAAGATATAGAATGAACTATTTATTTATTCATACATTATTGGAGAAACGAGGAATGAGTCATTTATTTTCAGTCTAAACAACATGATTCACGTAAACAAAAAACTATAAAAGAGACCATCATTCTCTTCCTTTTTTTTCTTCATTCTTTATCTCTTTTAAAAATTCTCCTATGCTTTTATTATTCCCTATGTTGAAAAGGTATAACAGCGTTTAGGTGACCTCAGAGGACATATAATTAATGCCATCGTTTAGAAATTTCACTTTTGCTGGCTCCATTTCATGGTCCCTGATGCAGCTTACTCTATCATAATATCTTCTCATAGGGCGAAGCCTTATGGAACTCTCTGCTATTCGTTAATACTCAAAAAAATGCTTGCTACTGTTTATCAAGACGCTCAAACAATTAAACAATCAAATACTCAAACAAATACTCAAATATTCACTCATGCTTATCAAATCTCTGGAAAGACCAGTGAACGCTTGTTCATGTTTATCAATACCTACAAATGATCATCAGTGCCTGAAAGTGCTAGTGAATACCTGTCCCATGCTTATCAATGTAGGAAAGTCCCTAAAGAATTTTGCTAATATCTATCAATGTCTACTGCTAATGAATACTGCTCTGGAGTAACTACATATTCAAGTCCTGAAGTCACAAGAAACATAATCAATCTACTTTGCCACTATCTGCCAAACTCTATCAAAATCTGCTACAAGAAAAGAAGAAGAAGAAAAAAAATAACCAAACAGGTCGCCGCTTCTCTACGCTGGATCACCCTGAGATGCTCCTATTGTTATGGTTCTGCCTCGACGGCTGATGAATGGCCCGTAAACCCTCCCTTACTGCTGAGCTCGATGATCGTGATGCTACAAAGGTTCAATATTCCGATGTCTCCACGGTCATCACTCCTTTCGAAACGTTTCGTCCTAGGTACTTAAAAGTGCACTCTTTGTACGTTGAAGCATCTCTTTCATTAAATTTACCGTGGTACGGTTTTGAGATTGGTTTTTGATTTTTGAGATTTGAGCCTTGAGTGCTTTTTACTCATGGAGGGTTTACACCGTGTAGTCTTCTGGGATGCAGCCTACGGATCTAGTCATCTTGGATTTGAAATGTAGCGATAATGTGGCCTTCTGGACTTATGAAAAAAAAAAAAAAAAAGAATGTATCTCTATTTAGTCTCTAAACTTGGTTATCAATAGAAAAATCTCTACTTATTCAAAGCTCTCTCTCTCTTTGCTTCTAAAATGACTTGGAAATCAAACTATTGCTTACTTAAATAAAAACTTCATTTTGCTACTCCCACACCTTGGCTTTTTGTTCTTTAATCCTCAATATGACTACCCTCATACTTACTTGACGCACTTTCAAGTGTATAGCGTATAATCAAGAAGAAAAGAGTATTTTCCAGTGCAATGTTTTGGCATTTTTTTCAAGCTCTGGTATGTGTTCTTATTTACTTGGCCTGTGGCTTAAGATTAGTGTTTGTTTTAGTCCTGTGTGCTCTAACTGTTAATGTGCCCAAGGATTGTGGCCCTATGAAATTGGAGGAGAGAATAGTAGTATGATGGGCAATATGAGGGCTTTGCATCAAAAGCTTCAAAAAGGGCTAACAAAAGTGTACACAGGAAACAGCAAACCTGTTGAGTTAAGCTTTACTGTACAACCTACCATGCGTTATGTGATATTTTATTTAATAAACTACATTCAATTATCAGTACTCTTAATGTCTTTAGACCCATCCACTTATTCTCCTTTGTTGATAATCGCTTCGCTCTTAATCAAAAAGTCCTGTTCTTTGTAGATCAGCCTTCAATTTCTCGATGGTGTTTTCCTTATTTTTTATGGCCATTTCAAAAATTTTGATATTAAAATTGCATAAAAGATTATATTCAAAACAATAGAAAAGACTATATTTATTAGCTCAACTCAAATCCAGTATCAGAGTTTATTGCTGCTGTATGTTAGTACAAATTTAAGTGTTTACTTAAACTTACCATAACATAATTTTTCTTTCAGTATTAACTTGTTGGTATATGCTATTTGTACATATATTTGTATGTGTTAAACATGACTTGAAAAAGTATTTGTTTCTAGTTACCTGGTAATTTCAACAAATTAAAACTATTAAAAATGTTAATACATGACCAAAATAACGCGCCAAACCTCTGCTTACCATGTAGAGCTAGTAGGTAATCTTCCAGATTTATTCATACTCATCTTCAAAAATGACTTGATAACATTCAAATTATCAGACTTCCCGTTTTCATCAGGAGATACCATTCGAATAGTGAAAGGAGGCTGAAGATAACTGAATCCTCCTAGGGGCGGTTTAGGACAACCAGTGGCAAATTTCAGGAACGCCTTCTTCTCATCCAAAGATAACTTCTCTACTATCTGCCAGAATGATCGAATCACTGGATGCTGGTCAAAGTAACCACCTTGATACTCTGTATGTCTTCGTAAGTCTGAAATATCTATCAACAGCTGTCAGTAATTAAAATATTCAAATAAAACCTTTACCAAATTCTTTATCTTCACCAGACAACACTCTGCTAAAGGTTAATACGCTTCTTTTTAATGAATAAAACATTACCTTTGAAGTTCAGGAGGAGTAAAGAGCTTTATCCAGTTTTCTGATACGACAGTTCTAAACCCTCTAATAAACGCATGTGTCTGCTCTTTTGCCCTCTGATTTAGCTTGTAATCAGCTAACAAATAGACATATTCAATCTTGTTTTCATTATTGACAGCCGTATGCTTTCCTCGCTGTATAAGAAATAAATAAAGAGTTCAAATATAATGTATAGCTTACATATTTCAACTCATGAGATTGAACCTTTCCAAGAACATCTTCATCTGTTTCAAAAACTAAGCCCAGCTCTTCAGCATTTCCTAAAATATAATGTGTTATCATGAGTTCAACATAGATGACTCGATTCAATACCTTCGTAATGCTTTATGAACGTCAGACTTTTCCACAATTCCTCATCTAATTCTTGTAGTTCCTGAAGAAATACATTACGACCAAGCAGTTTTGCTAGGAAGAACTTTGCAAACTGAACATCCAACAGGATTCCTTCGTACACTGCCTTGCCAATCACCTTTTAATATAAGGTTAGTGAAGCACGAACAAAGTAAAGAGTGCCACCTTACTTTGCCGATAAATTCAAATAATTCAATATGATATCTTCCTTGAAGTGCAGAATTTGGACTTGGATAAACACTGCTGTGCTTGGTTGCAGCAAACAAGCCAAAATCAGGCTCAAACACCTCATTTGTAAGAAGAGTAATAAAGTCTGGTCACTGTTAGACATTTGTCAAGATCTTTAGGTTAAAACTTTTACCTTTAAACGGCCCTCCTCTGTCAATACCAGCTTCTTCCATACCAAGTTCATTTACAAAGGATACTCTTATAGACCCTTTCCAAGCTGACGCAGATAGAGTACACAGCTGCTGATACCCATCAAGAAGCACTCTATTTCTTCTTATGGTAATACTCTTGCTATGTGTGCTTTGAAATGCGACCTTGTCAGTAGAGATCCAATCTCTAAATACTTTGAGTCGTACATCAAATGGTACAGTATGCGACATCAGCTGTAGGATACGCAAGGGCACTGGATCGCCTTGGTTTAACTTTGTTAAAAATAGTGAGGCAGTGGATGCTTCATTTTTAGTTTGAAAAATTGAGGAAAAAATAGACTTTACTCTGCTAGACATCATGGAAACTAGCAACCAGTGATTGGGAGGGCAAAATGAATGTTGTAAATCGAGGTCGTATATCTGTAGTAGTAAACTTCGTGCAGATTTAAAAGATAGTGCGGCTGGAGGAATTTCAGTAGAGGTAGCCGTTGGTTGTTGAATCAATGAGAAATAAAACAAATTGAGAAAGCCGCTAATTTGTACAAGATCATCAGGAGAAAAAGGTGTATTATGCTTAAATATATCAGTATCGTCCAGCGTTCTACCCAAAATAGATAAGATATATTGGCTTGATTCAGTTGTATTGCTTACATAAACATAATGGTGCATGCTTGACAAAATATCTTTAGGATATCAATAAGAGGCTCTTTATCAATTTCATTTCTCTGAGCTGCTTCCAAGTATATTTCCATATGCCCCTTTGGACCAAATTGATTCATAATCTTCCATAGCTGTTGCACTAGGTTTTTCGTAAAGGCAATTCTATAAAAAATTGTTCTGTTCACAGACTTGAACAAGCTTATCAATAAAGAATACATGGAAAAGATGGATTCAACTTCCACAGCAAACAATGCAATCTCTCCTTTTGAGGTCAATGGCTGCTTTCTTTTGTTTTGTTTTAATAAAAGCGCTTTTCGGTTTACTGAGCTTGAAGCTACTTTATCAAAATGGACTATGTCGTAAAATAGCTGATCCATAAATGGTCGACTCCACAAATATTCCAGTTGATTTATTACTTTATCAAAGACAGTAGAGTGCAAATTATTTCCCCAAGCGGCTTTAGACCATTTGAATAAAGGATGGTAATATTGAAATTCTGTTGTCTGCTTATCAGAAAAGTAAGATCTAATGTGTTGTAAAAGAGGCAATGCTAGATCAACAAGCATCTTATGGTCGCCATACTCGGAGCAACTCCACAAGTCAACAATATTTCCAAGTAAAAATAAGCAGCCGTTGCCATCGAATTTATCTAAGCAGTTGTCAAGGCTTGAAGAGTTTATCAAGAATGGGACAGCAGCTCCCAGTGTCCATTTGATTAGTCGGTCCATGACGGTTTTAGTAGAACTGATAGTAGAGATAATGTTTGGTACGATTAGCGTATTTGTCCAAAGAAACATTAAAGCTTCATTCATATCCAATGAGCCTGGCGCGGTCTCTGCGTAATCAATTGGATACAATGTCAATCGCGTCACGGTTGCTACCCAGAGTGTCATGGTATTCAACCTTTGAGCTTCCTGCTGCAGAGAGCGATTCTGCAATTTAATGATGTGCTGTACATACTGTACAAGACCATCTCTTAGCTGAAATTGACACAATGTTGACTTTAAAAGATGATGAGCTGTGCTTTGCAGCATGGAGCTTGGTGATTCCACTGCATGATGACTGTCAATCACATGTTTTGTTTGATATGTCTTTGGATTTAAATAGTGTAGTAGGAAGGCTAGCTCGAGTCCGAACAGACTCTTATTGTTGTCACTGAAAATGATGCATCGTGCGATACACTGATTAATGACTGTTTCCAAGTATTTCTTTGTCTGATTCATATATCTTGTATCTATCAATAGAGTGTAAAAGGGCATTACTGTTGTAGTATTGTTGTTGTTGACAGGTATAAATTTATTATGGGTCAGTTGCTTTATCAGTTGCTTTAGTCGGTCAGGCTGCTTCTCTGTCTTTGTCATGAAGCAATACATTCCTATGATCTGATAGATATCAAGTATAGACAACTGCTTTGCCGAGATCAGCTCATCCCATTCTTTCCAAGCCATGTCTCTACCCTGATGACATGCTGTCTTTCTTCTCCACCATCGCTGTATGATCACACAGGCGTTCTCTTTCTTCTCTAATTGAACCTTCGATTCTCTCTCTCGCTCTCTATTTTCTCTTTCTATCCTGGCCTGCTCAATAAACTTTTTCTTTGAATCATTAAAAGAAAACATACAGCTAGTTGATACTAATATTATAAGCAAAGGATTCCCAAGTCGTAATCTCTATAAAAGAGTAAGCAAAGTTTAGTGAACTAAAATGCCATCTTACCGACGATATGATGAAAAGGACAGATTTTAGTCCTGTGATACACGCACCTTTTTTTAAAAATAGAGAACAAGAAAATCCAAGTTTTCCCTTTTTTTTTTTTTTGAACGAAATGTTTAGAGACACGAGGCCAATCGCATTACGTAGACTTATGCCTTTTACTAAACGATCAGAAGCTAGAAAACATCGGACGTCCGACTCCATACACAGCACGGACGAAGACCCCTTATTATTAGACGAAGAAGCTGGGGTAAGAAATACATGACAGATACAAAACATGTATTAACATGATCACAGCTTAGTATTATTTCCTCATCCTATTCAAGAAAATCTAAAAACCAAAACAAGGCTAGTATTTGGTCTCGGTTAAAGCCTACAAAAGCATATACGCCAAGAACAATTTCATTACAAGCAGATGGTATTTGCATAAACAGCTTTAATAGTGTGCACATATGACTTATTTGATAAATAGATAAAGAGAAAAAGAAATACACAGCCAACGTGATTGTCAACCAAAAATACAACATCTTTACATTTATTCCACTTGTACTTTACGAACAGTTTGTTATATTCTTCAACTTGTACTTTCTTCTTGTCGCATTATCTCAGTTTATACCTGCTTTAAAGATCGGTAAATATAAGTGATTTATTATTTATACATTGTCTTTAAACAGACTGATCCGTAGGCTATATTCTTACATACTTTGGGCCATTGTGCTTTGTTTTAACAATCACTATTAGTAAGGAAGCACTAGACGATTATCAACGATACAAACGTGATAAAGAAGCAAACTCCCAACTCTATCGTCGACTTACACCTACTGGAAACCAAAATATACCAAGCTCAAAGATTAGAGTGGGTGATTTACTATATATTATGAAGGATCAAAGAGTAGGTAGAACATAAAAGATAACCATGATCATTTACTCTTTAAACAGATACCTGCGGATATGATCTTGTTACGAACAACAGAAGAGAGTGGAGCTAGTTTCATTAGAACTGATCAATTGGATGGTGAGACTGATTGGAAGTTACGTCTAGCCATACCTTCTTTACAAAGACTTGGTTCAGATCAAGATCTGCTCAATATTCGAGGACATATTTATGGTAAACAGACACTATCTTACTTTTGGACAATACACAATTCAACTTTATTTTTTATTAGCTGATGCGCCACATAAAGATATTCATAGCTTTGTTGGAACAATTAATATCATTGATGAAGCAACAGGATTGGAGCGAATCGAGCCATTGGGGGTTGAAAACACAATGTGGACGAACACTGTATTGGCTTCTGGATCTGCAATCGGCTTTGTTATTTATACCGGCAAAGATACTCGAGCAGTAATGAACACGAATCATCCAAAGACAAAGGTTGGCTTACTTGATCGTGAGATCAATCAACTGGCAAAGGTAAGTTCTTATATAAATTACAAAGTAGATTGTATACCAACTCTATTTGTAAAGATTTTGTTCTTTGTTACATTAGCACTTTCCGTCATCATGGTAGGGTTGAATGGATTCCGTGGTATTTGGTATATCTATGTCTTTAGATTCTTGATTTTGTTTTCTTCTATTATTCCAATCAGGTAAAAAAAGCGTCATGATCAAAGTATTCTAGTTAACACTAACGTGTGATATAGTTTGCGTGTAAACTTGGACATGGGAAAGAGTGTATATGCTCGACAAATAGAACACGATGATGAGATCAAGGGTACTATTGTTCGTACCAGCACCTTACCAGAAGAACTGGGTCGTGTTGAATATCTTTTAACAGACAAAACCGGTACTTTGACTCAAAATGATATGGAGCTTAAAAAGTTACATATGGGAACCATGTCCTATAGTACAGATACGATGGATGAAATACAAAGTCATCTTGCAACTTCATTTGGTCATCAACAAGATACAATCATGGCAAAAGGACGTCGAAACATTTCTGTTCGTATAAAGGATATCGTTCAAGCACTAGCTCTTTGTCATAATGTGACTCCGGTTATCAGCATCGACGGCAATATTGGATATCAAGCGTCAAGTCCTGATGAAGTAGCCATTGTTAAATGGACTGAGCATATGGGCTTAACCTTGATCAACAGAGATGTCAATTCGATTCAGCTACGAGTGAATGCAACAGAAGAAACACTCTATTTTGACGTACTTCATATCTTTCCATTCACTAGTGAAACAAAGCGCATGGGTATCATTGTCAAAAACAGACAGACTGGTGAAATTACGTTTTATGAAAAGGGGGCTGATACTGTCATGGCTAAAATTGTTCAATATAATGATTGGTAAGGCACTGAGACTAAGTGTACGGTTAGATACATGTATAAACCTATAATTAGGCTTAACGAAGAATGCGATAACATGGCAAGAGAAGGCTTACGTACATTGGTCGTTGCAAAGAAGAATTTATCTCAAGAGGCATATGAAGAATTTAGCGCTAAATATCATGAAGCCGAAGTGTCTCTCCATGACCGTAATGTGTTGAAGCAGTCTGTTGTAGAAACAATATTAGAGTCAAATTTGGAATTATTGGGATTAACTGGCGTAGAAGACAAATTACAAGACGGTGTAAAGAATACATTAGAGCAAATGAGAAATGCAGGTCTAAGAGTATGGATGTTGACGGGTGATAAGATTGAAACTGCTACCTGTATTGCCATTTCTTCAAAGCTAGTGTCACGTAATCAAGGAATTCATCAAGTAGCAAAATGTATGTAGAGTAGAATACTGATATTCATTATTACTAAACCATTATTCTCTCAGTAAAATCTGCTGCCGAAGCAATAGAGGAGATTGACAATTTAAGAACCAAAACCGATCATTGCTTAGTTATTGATGGTGAATCGCTTCAACTTTGCTTAGAGCATTATAAGGAAGAATTTATTGAAATGGCATCATTACTGCCTGTGGTTGTCTGTTGTCGTTGTTCGCCAACACAAAAGGTTAATATATTCTAAAAGTGTACCCCTGCCCTCTAACCCGATCTTATTAGGCGGACATTACTCGATTAATCAAGGAATATACAAAGAAAAGGGTGCTATGTATTGGTGATGGTGGCAACGATGTTAGCATGATTCAAGCTGCTGATGTTGGCGTAGGCATTGTCGGAAAAGAAGGCAAACAAGCGTCCCTTGCTGCTGATTTCTCGATTACTCAATTCAGTCACTTGACTAAACTACTCTTATGGCATGGTAGAAATAGCTATAAAAGATCTGCCAAACTATCACAATTTGTTATACATCGTGGTTTAATCATTTCTGTTATGCAAGCGGTATTCTCTGCCATGTTCTACTTTGCTCCTATTGCCCTGTACCAGGGTATGCTTATTGTTGGTTATGCTACTATTTATACCAATGCTCCAGTCTTCTCACTTGTTCTTGATCAAGATGTAAATGAAGAAATTGCCATGATTTATCCAGAACTGTACAAGGACTTGACAAAGGTAAGGAATATATGTATGAAAACACGAATAATCTGATTAAGCTTGTATCTAGGGTCGATCACTGTCTTACAGAACATTCTTTACATGGTTACTTATTAGTGTGTACCAAGGAGGCGCAATCATGGTGTTGTCTATTCTTCTCTTTGAGGATGAATTTATACACATCGTTGCTATTTCATTCACAGCCTTGATTTGTAATGAATTGCTTATGGTAGCTTTGGAAATTAATACATGGCATAAGCTTATGATCCTGGCTGAAATTATCACAATACTCATTTATTTTGGATCCATGTGGCTACTCCCAACTTATTTTGGTAAGAAAGGAAAGAAAAACGAATGCATTCTCTTTAAACTCATAAACTATATTAGACATGACATTCATATTAACCGAGCGTTTCGTTTGGAAGGTAGCAGTAATAACTGCAGTAAGCAGTTGTCCGTTATACATTGTAAAAATAATTAAGCGCAAGATTGCGCCTCCAAGTTATACAAAGTTAACCTAGCAATAAAATATATAATATAAAAGCGCGATAAGTGCACATTGCTCCTTGACAACCCATAAATTGGAATCGTGAGCACTGTATTTATTTTAAAAATACACAAATATCATCTGGGTATTATTATTGTTATTATTCTCTTCTTAAATTGTCCAATCTTGCTTGTAAGGCAGCATCATCAGCTGACAAACCCCCTTCTGCTTGAGCAATTCTTTCACCAGAAGATCCTAAAGGAGCTTCTGCTTGTTTAATACCAGAAGGTACTTCTCCAAGCTATTTCGAATATGTCAATAGTTGATCAAGAACTAATTTTCTTTCTTTTTTTTTTTCCTCTTACCTCTTGGTTAAAGCTGATACCAATTTCATCCAATACCTTATTCACAATTTCATCACTTTCAGCTTCCTCTTCTTCCTCTTCAAAGGCATCGTCAATTGCGTCACCCATCATTTCGTCCTTCATGTCCATTAGTTCACTTTCTCTCTCAAACTGCATCATAATCTGTTGAATTTTAGGTAAATTCATTTGTCTATTCATTGCCCCCATTGCTTTTGTTGCTCCTCTCATAGCTTCAGCCATTTGCTGGCTTGATCTTAGAGTCTATATTTTTTGTTTCAGATGTTGAAGCCCATAACCTAATGATGATTTATACCTGAATACGAAGACCAACTGCCTGTAATTGCGTCTTCATTTGGTAAAACTTTTGAACATTACGTCTTGTACGAACCAAATCCTTTGCCATAACTTTACACGCTCCTAGTTGGTTTTCCTTTGCTGACTTCTTTATGTCAAGAATCAGCTTCTTCTCTTGGCGTTCAAGTTTTTCTCTTTCTCTATCCAACTCTCTTTGGGCTTTTGTTATTGCTCTTTGGTGCTGACGAAGGACTTCTGCAGGAGTCTTTCTTTTACCAAACAAAAATTCCTGTAAACAAGGATATTAGACCACACTCACACAAAAAAAAGTAAATGTAGTTGGGGAAATGCAATACCATTTTATTATTGAAAAAGAAGAGAAAACAGGTACATAAAAAACAACAAATGTCTCTTTGTTAGCGGAGATTCATTCACACTGCATTAACAAACGAATTGAAGGTTTACATCAATAGGATGAGATGCACTTAACTGAGGTCGCTGAGAGTATTTATCACGTAGTATTTCACGAAGACTGTTTAGTAATGCTTGATAAGACTGGTTTGGATTCTTTCGAAGAGAGGCTAGCGTTATTGATCATAAGTTGACAATCTCTTTTAAAGTATATATTATTCTTACTTGTTAGTGCATAACTCATTGCACCTGTTGCTCTACCAGCTTCTTTAGCATCAGCTGAGGTTTGATCATCTTTACATCTAAGATATGCTCAATACCATTGTGAAGCAGTATTGGTATTTAATCTTACCCTGAAAACATGATAACATCTGCAGGAGAAAAGTTTCTGCGTTTATTTTCTTCTTCTATATCACGAGCGTTGAAAAGCTCTCTTCCTAGTTCCATTAATTCAGATATAGCACGCGGCCTATCTCCTGTTGCATAAGCTATTCCTGCCGATAAGAGACCTTTACCGGCATCCTTGAACAGGTTTTGATCCTTCAAGACACCCTTTGTAGAATAAATAAATGGCAAGTCTAGAACTGTGCCTGAATGACAGCTGTCAAATATACATGTCAGCCTGCATCCTTCACATAGTGGTCTAACAAGTATGTCATGCATATCATCATCAATAATTTGACCCGAAGTTCCCTCATAGTCTTCAAAATCAACAGGGTAAATAGTTTCGTCGTATCCATCCTCTTCATCACCTGAAATATCTTTCACTCTACCCCCGTGACCACTATAATGGAAAAAGAATCTATAAAAAAAAAAGCGTATTAGATGATGAACGCTGAGCCATGTTTGGTCATCCTACGAATCATTGGGCTGTGCATCTTCCACAAGCCATCTCATGGCAGCCAATATATTTTCTCTATTAGGATAATATTTACTATGAGGAGGGTTGTCATCTGTCAGAATGACCATATCTTCTTTTTTAAATCCATATAAAGACGTCAAAAAGTTTTCAATGTTCTCCACGTCATTAATGCAACCATTTAGCTCATGGTTGGTTCCAAAGTAGTTGATACCAATCAACAGAGCCTTCTTTCTTCCTTGACAATTAGATATTTTAAATTCAGGAGTACCGTATTCCTTTACTCGTGGATCAATGTGAAGAAAGAATTCGCTGTCAGGAGATGTCGTATTCTCACCATAAGGGACTTTTTTTATCGATATTAGAAAATATTGCTAAACATCACTTTCTCTTTATTTTACCTGGTGTTGATGGCTGATTTTCAGAAACAAAAGGTGGCTGTGGATAGTTTGGGTTCGGTTCAAGCATTTCCTCTGTAGTGAATTCTGGGTCATATGCGTCTGATCCAGGAGCATTATCTCCATATCCATACTATTTTGAAAGTAAGAAACAAAAATTAAGCAATTAAACGCAGGAGCGTACCTCTCGATCACTGTCTACCATGATAATATAAAGCTAAAATAAAGAATTAAAAAAAGAAAGAATAGGATAAAAGGCAATATTTTATAAGCATTTGAAAACATTTAGTAAGTATGTGCAACCTTATTCAAGGCCCCGAATATGAGCTTCCATACATGTACGGTATGATGTATAATGGATTATGTACGGCTTATATATTTGTCAGCATGCGCGATCTTCTGAACGACAGAGGAGGCGCAGCTTTACCCTCTGCCAAGAGCATATGATTATCCATTATATATAATCATTCATTGCAAAGCCTTCAAATCCAAAACCTCCACCTGTAGTATCGTCTGAAAAGGTATTACCAATGGTAGAAAATAAGTCCTGCCAACATATTTCCTCAGATGAATTCAGTAACCACGATTGTTTTTCCGACAGGCTTGGTGTCGCAGTAGTATCCCTTTGCTCAGCTTGTTCAGAAAGTATATGCTGAACGCTCATAGGTGTCACTGGTTTTGTCTCTTGTTGCATAAAGTGAACTGGCTGTGCTGGAGCATCGCCAAATAGACTCGGTATGGTACGAAGAAAATCAACTACAGGTGGTTTAGAAGGTACATCACGAACCATTGGTTCAAGAACATCATCCGTAGCCATGCGAAGGTACTTTTTTGCTTCATCTGCGATTTTTGGGTTGTTGCTTTTAGTATTGTAAGCATGTATCAAGGCTGCTACAAACACAGAGTAACCTAGGAGTGCGAGCTATTATACCTTCATATCTTTTTTTTTTTTCCCTCTCTTCCTTACATGTAAAGTTCCATCCAAACGAAATCATTGATTTGCTTGGTATTTTTTGAGCGACATCAATGCCAAGTTTTGCTGCCTTGATACAAATAGCTGCGCTTTTTGTTACAAATGGCATCCCAGCCTCTTCAACAGAAAGGAAACGTCTGTGTAACAAAATAGTGACAGCATAATAGCACAGCGTCAAGGGCCCACCGTATGTAATCTTTTTTAAACCCGCATAGAGCCGAGGGTTTACGGATAACTGCATTAAATCTACCTCCGTAATTTTACAATCATCAGGAACGCTGAAATACCATTCTTCTAGCATCATCTGCAAGCTCCATACAGTTTGTTCCATCGCCATCGTTCTATATTCACTTGCTGTAGTTTTTGTTAAATATACGCGTCGTAAAACTTCTCCAAGAATTCTGGAAAGCTTCATAAAATATATAAAAATACTCAAGTCCTCTCCTGGCCAAAGAACATCAGTCACCTTTAAATCAACGTCGCACTCCGAATCTACAATGGCCAAGGGTCGTCCCATGATGGCACTGCACCATCTATCAGTAACGTAGACACTGTACCACAGCCTTTTTCTTTTTTTTATAGATTCTAGAGCATTGGCCGTATTTACTGTGCGATGAAGCCCCAAGTCCTGGGCCTAGTTTAAACCAAATAAGTAAAGAATCATATCAATGTATGCACATTACCATTCTTACAGCCATGCCCGCCTTGATCCAACTGTTATGCGAAGTACTGGCATAATTTGGATGACTAGCAAATAATACGAGTGCTTGAATAGTAGATTCTCGAGGCAATAAGTATCCTCGACGAACTAATGCAGTTGCACGATCGTTCAATAAACGATACAGCTCGTCACGTTCTAAACCGGCTTCTCTAAACATAGGATCATCTGAGCTTACCAGAGAGCAAGAAAAGGTACATATGGCGTATATCAAAAGAGGTGCCAATGAGTGAAGGCCTTTGCCTTCAAACATCGTCATAAAATCATCTTTATCTACTATTGGTAGAAGAGGATTTGAAGAAAAATAGCTAGGTATAATACTTTAGTAACTCCCATAAAATAGCCTTTCAAGTAAGCTTGGGTACATGTATATAAGACTAGATATGAGCGATCTTGGTATAAAGGCGTCCACAATCTCTTGACCATCTGCCTCTAACCGTTCGGCTTCTTCATCTTCTGTTGTATCTCTTACAACCACAAATTCATCATTGTTAGTCCCCACAGCTTTTAAGCGAAATGCACCCTTTTTGTAAAGAAAAGGTATATGAAATACTTTGGATTGTTCATCTCTAGTATCTGTGATAGGCATGGCGCCTTCTTCTTGATTATCTGCACTTGTCGAAGAGAAAAGATTACCTACAAGATGGTATCCAGCGGAACTTCCGTGATATCTTACGATTTTGCCCTTTGGTCTATGCAAAACGTTGTCTTGATTCTCATGTACTGGATTACGTGAGTTTTCTACAATGTCTTGAAGTAGGTCCTCCATGGCTCGCAATCTGCTCTCTAGACTTTCAATGTACCTATCCATACAGTTGCGCAACTGAGAATAAAATCCAAGATTGTTATGAGATATAATTTACCCTTTTTGAGGACCTCTTTTCCTTGAAGCCTAATCTGTGTTGTGAGCATATAAAGTTGTAAAATGAACTATGCATACTTCGCTGAATGAACAATCTTTGCCACGCTGTAAGCAATTAGTGCACGGTTGTCTCATATCAGCATCACATCTAATGACAATAAGCATTTCTGTTTAACTAGTATGAAACTCTACAGCATATACTTTGCTTTTTTGCTTCTACATATATCACCTATATAACAAATTCTGTTTAATAGACATGGAGAAAAATGGATCCAATGTTATTTTACATGCTCTTGCTGTTCTTTGTCTTTTTCCTCTATACTCAGAGTCATCTTCAGAAGGAGATCTTTCTGGTGTTTCATTATCCAGCATATGATGTGAGTATTGTAGTATGAGAAAGAAGAAAAGAAAGACGGATAGAACATGGTTTATTGGGATATAATAGACGGGATCAATGTTTATCCACGGTTTTACTCTTTGCCAATTGAAATACCCGCCACTGTGTCACTCCAATCGCTTGAATTTGCTATAGGCACACCGTGTACTTTTTGATCACTGGGACTGGCTGATACTTCACCACTTAATGAGCTGGAACGTAACCCAAAAAGACTAGGCTTTGCCACCATTACAACAATAATGGCAATAATAAGTCCTGTGAGCATTAAGGTAGCAGTAATTGTACATCGTCTTCTCCATATAAACGCTGATTGTCTGTCTCTGCAACAAAAAGAAGTGCTTCCAACGAACCATACTATAGGGAAATATTAGCTAAAAGCATAAGCACTTTATATTTTAAAAGCACCTTTATCTTGAGTAGCCTTTTCTGTGTCCTTCATTAATCAAAATAGAGCCAAAAGATCAATTATTTATTAAATGACCCTCTATTTATACAAAGTGATGCTTATACATAAAAAGGAGAGAAAAGGTTAACTCTAGTTCTATATGACTGATATAACACGGACACTGTCAATATGTAACATTATCATGCTATTATAAGGCCTCCTTTTTCTTTATGATCTTTCATATAGATCAAAGTGTGTGACTTGTTCAATTAGATAGCCTTTTTTTGCTGAATAGAACAAAATTACTTTTTTATACAACTCTCTGACAAAGATGTCCCAGGATTCGACAGCAAACGATAATAACAAAAGATCATTTGAGGAACATAACATGGATAATGCATCTGGTAAGTGTATTGATTAAGACTCAAAACTTGCAATAATAATAATAAAAAAAAGACGACGACATTGGACCCATTTTACCTCCATCGTCTAATGAAGAGATTCCTCGAAAGAAAAAAAGAAGTAAAGATTATGATCTTCTTTATAATACTGTTTACTTATGTTTTCATAACTAGCCCTTGCTCACGAAAAACTTTACCTTGATCATTTGCCATCTGCTGACATGTACGAGAAGAGTTATATGCATAGAGACGTGCTTTCTCATGTAGCTGTTACCAAGTAAGATCGCCCTTTATATTGTTAGCTGTTTAACCCATTGTTTTTTCTTAGAAAGGATTTCATCATCACCACGTCAGTTGATGGTCATTTGAAGTTTTGGAAAAAGACAGCTACTGGCATTGAGTTTGTGAAGCATTATAAATCGCACTTATCCAGTATTGTAGACATTAGCCTATCAGCAGATCATGAGCTTTTGGCGACAGTTTCAGATGACATGTCCATGAAAGTGTATGATATAACAAACTTTGACATGATAAATATGATCAAATTAAGATACAAGCCAAAAAGCGTGTGCTGGATACATCAAAGAGGACAAGCACAAGCATTAGTTGCCGTGTAAGGGCTCATATTAGATGAGTATGTCAAATGACTCACACTATATTATAGATCTGAAGCAGACAATTCAAATATACATATTTATGATGGACGCGCTGATGGTAAGCCACTACATACACTATCAAAGATGCATTCAAAGCCTGTCCATATCATCGAGGTAAATTGTAAACCCTTTTGATCAAGCATATTGGATTAACATCGCGTTGTAGTTTAACTCGAAATTCAACTGTGTTGTCTCTGTTGATTCAGTTGGTATGATTGAGTATTGGTCACCAGAGCCTCCATTTGCATTACCAGATAACCTTGACTTTGAATTAAAATCTCAAACTGATCTTTATGAATTTCGAAAGGTAAAAAAGAACGCGTCAATGGATGTGTATTGACATAAATGTAGAAAAAATCAGTACCTACCTGCCTCACTTTTTCTCGTGATGGATTAAGCTTTGTTACTATGAGCTTTCCTGATCGACAAGTTCGCTTATTCAAGTTTTTACAAGGCAAAATGTTTCGAGAATATGATGAAAGTCTCCAGGTTATTAGTGAAATGCAGCAAGCAGGCACAACCATTCATAAATTAGACGATATGGAATTTGGTAGGCGTTTGGCTGTTGAAAGAGAACTCGAAAAGTCAAGCCAATCTCGCTTTGTAAATGCTGTATTTGACGAAAGTGGAAACTTTGTTATCTACGGATCCTTACTGGGTATAAAGATTGTTAATATCCGTACAAACAAGGTGGTTCGTCTACTAGGTAAATCTGAAACGAACAGATTTGTCAATGTCAGTTTATATCAAGGCGCTCCTAAAAAGAAAGGGATTTATACTTTGGTAAGTAACAAAAGTATGAAGCTGATTCATCTTTAACGTCATGTTGTAGGCAATGGTGGCTTCAGAGAATGCAGCACTTAAAGAGAGCCAGGAACTTGATCCAACATTATTCTGTACTGCGTTTAATAAGAATCGATTTTACTTGATGACAAAGAGAGAACCCTTTGAGTAAGTGACGATAGCGAATATCGAGAATATCATCTTACATTATCAATAGTGACATCAATCAGAAAGGAGAACGAGATATATTTAATGAGAAACCTTCCCGTGAAGAACAGACAGTCGCAGCTACTCAGGAACGTAAACAAATACTCGGCACAAGCGCGATTCTACGTACTACATCTGGTGATATCCATATACGTTTATTCCCTGATGCTGCACCTAAAGCTGTGGAGAACTTTACTACGCACGCAAAGAATGGATACTATGACAATCTTATATTCCATCGAGTTATCAAGGGATTTATGATTCAGACAGGTTGCCCATTTGGTGATGGTACAGGTGGAGAGTCCATTTGGGGTGATGACTTTGAAGATGAATTTTCGAGAGAGTATAGACATGATCGTCCATATACAGTTAGTATGGCTAACGCAGGACCAAACACAAATGGAAGTCAGTTCTTTATCACAGTTGCACCAACGGTAAGTTTTTTTCATTTTTATAATGATGAATGGTATACTTATACTGCACACTATTGTAGACATGGTTGGACAATAAACACACTGTATTTGGCCGAGTTACGGCTGGTATGGATGTAGTACATAGCATAGAGAGTGAAAAAGTGGACAAGACAAACAAACCCTTAGAAGATATCAAAATCATAAACATTGATATTCGATAAAAAAGAAAAGCATCATGCCTTTATTCGTCATTTTCCTGTATAATTAACCTTTTACCAATTTTACGATGAATACCATTTGCCTTTGAAGGTCTATCTCCAGTATCATAATAAGTATAACCATCACCATGATCATATTCTTCTTCAAGTGCAAGAATGCGCTGACGTTGAGAAACACCACCAGGATATTTTTCATTCAAAAGCATTGTCTTGACTTCAACCAAGTATTTTTGTAATGTTTGAAGTAATCGTTCAGTTTGTCGATGCTTAGAAGAGGCTACAAACTATAGACAATCAATTTGGTAAACAGCGACTATAGTTTCTATTTGCAACATACCGAAATACGATCATCCTTGATTATATAACCAATACCAAAACCATTTGCCACCACAGGACCAAATCCAAACAATCGAAGAGCAGGATTTCCACAGTTAGAGGTACTAATAACCGTATGATTCAACGTACGCCAGCCAGCATCAGTAAAAATACGAGGCTTCTGCTCATCTCTGTGCATTCTAGCCCATAGACACTCTAAAGCATACAAATGACGGTCTTGGCCTAACCCCTGCGAGCACTCACGCGTGTTCTTTGTGTGAGTTTTGAGAGCAGTACGTAGAGCTTCGAGCTTATTATGACAAGAGACTTTGGGGTCAAAGAATTTTTGGACAAATTCGACAGACTGGTCCGTTACTGTTCTAATGGCTTCCGTACGACCATGCAAAAACATTTTTGTCATGGCCGGTTCATAAGAACATTCAGGTTTACCATAGAGCCCATAATAAGCAGCTTGTATAGCCATCTACATAGAAAAGAGAGAGAGTAAGCTACGGTAGATTCATTCGTACACTCTAGTACCTGCACAAAGGCATCAGGACTCATTCGCATGTCTGTAATGAAATGCTTGCCGTATTTATCAAATTCAAGTACTTTTACTTCATTCTGCAGAGTTAAATCGCTCAATCTTGTTTCTGCAAACTTTACGCCCAGTTCAATTTCTTCTGTCATGTTCCATTCGATTTTCCTAGGATTATGATCAAAGTAGCTTACGAAATTATTTTCATTCAACTTTTCTCTAGCGGCCATAGCATTGCTATCTCTTCTTTGACGATAGCTGTGAAAAATGGATTGAGTTTGACTATTGATTGTCTTCGCAAAGCGTAAGATAGTATCAGTGTAGATATCTGAGACGTATCTTAACACCGTATGTCCATCAACGCCTACAGCTCAGAAATTACACATCGCCACACTTTTATTTCCTTGGTGTCATCTTACCTGTGTGCTCAAAATTGATTCCCGCGCTACCATTTTGGCAAACAATGATCTAGGGAAGCTGTGAGATACAGAAAAGGACTACTTTTGTTTCTTTGATTTTACCTGTAGCTTATCGTACCATCTGTTCGTACATGTGCCTACCTGTACACCTTGCTCAAGATTATATGTACCACATAGCATATTATTACTAAGTTCTTCACTTGACTTTGGCTGGACATGATCAAGGCAGACAATAAACAAGGCTTCATCTACTAAATGTAATGCTTCTCTGTTTACATCATCACTTTCCAGCTGACGTCTCAACCTGGCCCAGTTACGACGATTTTCAGTTGTAAATACACCGACGGCCCTTTTTGCTACCTCTGCCGCTGGTGTCTTTGCAGAATCCTTTTGGATGGCCTTTAAGTTTGCGGCAATTTCCTTTTCGGTCAATGTAAAATCACCCGATTCATCAAAGACTTGAAAGTAATAAAATTGAGAATGCGACATGATAACGATATGACGACTCTCTGGATGAGGGACCATATGACATCCCTCTTCAGTAGGCACTCGTGAGGTAGCAAACAGGCGGTGAAATTGGGACATACACAGAGGCTTACCACGGATAACATCGGGCTCCAAATGGCGGGTTTTGAGTGCATGAACAAAGGTCAATGTGGAATAGATAAGGGAAGATGCTCTGACAATTTGGTTGTTACGCAGAGGTGTGGGGTCATCTTCCAACAAGAAAAAAGGGTTCAAGTTTAATACGACCGGATCAGTAAACTGGAGGTAAGAGTCGTACCTATTTGCGAGGGTCATTAGTAACAGTTTTTAAGCAGATCTTCTGTTTCTTTTACCAAAATTCTTCAATATAAGATGACTTGTCTGTTGCATAAGTTTTTAATTTTTCTTGAAGCTTAGGACCTTCATTGATTAAAAACTCTTGAACGGCCTTTTTAGTTACTTCATGCTCTTCGGGGGTCTGTATTATAGAATAAATATAAGCTTTTCTTTTTCCTTTGTCTTGCTTTTACTTGTAAAGGCTTTAAAGCATTCAGATAACGTTTTGCAGTCTCATTCAAGTCTGGGATAGGAAGCTTTGGCAATTGATTTTGATATTTGAATGTTTCACCCTCAACGGCATCACTATCAACAGGGAATCGGATCGTCATTTTTATTAAAGAAAAAGAAAAAGAGAGAGAAAGAAGGTGTTGGGACTCAAGGGCTCGCATATCTATATACATTGGTTTCCCTTTGAACAAATCCTAATTTTCTATAAAGCTTATTGGCCGCTTCACGATCAGGTCGACTTGTAAGATCGATTGATTTTGCTTGTAGTTTTTTCGCACGGTCAATCGTCTCATTGATCAAATAGGTGCCTATACCTTTACCCCGTTGTTCCGAATCTACTACAACATCTTCAATATGTACTCGAGTGCCAGTTACACAGTGTGAACAGACTAAACTAGCAGTTCCAACCAAGATGTCTTCACTGAATGCTCCCAAGATGACGCTTTGGGTTGACGAAAGGGCAGCAAGGACGCTTTCCTTTGTTGTTGAACTCGATAACTGCTGCTGTACGAGGCGCACCAACTGGTTTAAATGCTCTTCTGATATTGTCTTGTTGGTTAGCTGTGTTATTTGTATAGACCTTGAGTTACTCATTTAGAAAGAAGAAGAAAAGGACGAACACTTCGGGGATTAGAAATAAGCGTACAGTTTATTAAAGAAGGGGGTATTGAATGTTTATATTTAACAAGCACAGCCAGATGACTCTGTCTGTTCAGTTGTATTAAGATCGACTTTTTGCACTAAAAAAAAGACTCAATGAATGCCACCATCAAAATCAACATCTTTACTTACGTTGATCCTTTTCGTCCAGTCCATGATTATTATCCATACCAGGAAGCGCTTGAGCAATACGCTTAAATAGGGCCTTTACGTTATGGCCTGCTTTGGCACTTGTCTCAATAAATAATATTCCACAGTCGGATGCTTTTTTTTCTCCTTCCTCAAAAGTCACCTCTCTTTATTATATGACATTAGTCTCATGTATGATACATTCATTCTATACCTTTTATCACTCAGATCTGTCTTGTTTCCTACCAAAACAATAATGACCTCGGATCCACGTTCGGCTCGTACATCATCAATCCACTTTGAAGTATTTTGAAAGGATGCTCTATCTTGAAAACACTCGGTTTGTATATATATACAAATACATATTTACAATAGCTAATAATTACTTGTAATATCATAGACTACGACTGCTACAGAAGAATCCCTAATGTAACTTGGGATCAAACTTCGGAACCGTTCCTATTTTTAATCTATTATTAAGAAGGGAAATCAAAAAAAAAGGGAAGGGGAACAAATCGATACGCAACCTGACCTGCGGTATCCCATAACTGAAGACGAACTGTTCTGTCTTCTAAATACATCGTTTTACTCAAAAAATCTATGCCAATTGTCGCCTATTATTGGTGTTGTTATTATTATTCTACAACCTCCATTTGCTCTTACTTGATATGTATTGTCAAAAGTATCATACATAAACCTGGTAATGAGCGATGTTTTGCCAACTACACAATTAACAATCAGACCAAGAACAGCCTCATTTTCTCTTTCATTACCACTTTGCTCTCCCAAGAAGACTAGTTTAAACTTTCTTAGAGGATTACTAAATTCTTGACTTGCCATTAAAGAAAAAAAAAAAAGATAAAATTCAAGAGTTGGGACAGAGAAAAGTGATTTTGATAAAATGAAATTAAGATTTTATTAGGCACTTTGTAATTGAGCTTGCGATAGTTTAGCTTCCAAGCTACGTAAAGCTTCTTCCTTATTTAACAATTCAGCTCGCTTTTCTTGAATCTCTCTTTGTACTTTCAATTCGATATCTCGGAGCTTTTCTTCATCCTTTCTTAACTGCTCTTCCTTCAAGCGTACACTCTGGCTTGCCATATCCTCTGCATTCAGAGACATATCACTTTTATATATATACAATCATTAGTCTCTCTTAGCTTTTTTATATATATTAAACTTACTCATCCCCTTGAACAGTGCGACTAAGCTTCTCGGTACGATAGTTTTCATACAAGAAATCATGAGTTATTTCTTTAAGGTCTTGAAGATGAGAACTGATCAAAGGTGTAATTGATTGATTAGTACAATTGATGTGATGATAGTGCGACTTTTACCTCAAAAGCGCAGACTTCAGACGTGCAAAATCTGAGTGTTGTGGATTGTCAACTAGAGTAGAAGACTTAGTATTTTGTTCAAAAAACAAAAAAAAAATATCTCTACCTTCAACTGCACCCCAAGGATACTGTCTTCCGCGAACAGGACGACCATTCACCATGATTTCTTCATCACTACCAATGATAGCAAAGGGCAAAAGGTTCTACATACAAGATATTAGAAATTACAAATAACTTCATTCCTTATTGCCTTCTATTACTCTCAGTTCACTATTCTCCTCAATAGTATCTTCATCATCTTCTTCAATATCATAAGGGAAGTTATAGATGGGAATGTTATAATGTTCAATATCTTCCATGATCTAAAAGGTTGAATTAGCATAGAACGAGACATGTTCAAAACTTACCCTTCTCTTGAAATCCTTTAATTCTTGTGGTGTAAGTGAGTCTGCACGGCCAATGACAGGAATGACATTAACTCGAGGACTCAAACGACGCATAAGTTCAATATCAATTTCACGCAGGCTAGCATAAAATATGAATGTTTATCCTATTTCAATTAGATAAAACTTACGCATGTCCTGATGGCGAAATAAAATACAAGAGAGCATGAACACGATTATCACGGAATCTAGGATTACGTTTAATTCTAGATTCTTCAGCCAAAATATCATCATATTGTCTTTCCAGATAGCCAACAATCTCCTTAAAGCTATTTTTTGCTTCGCTTAGTTTACTATACATACTCTTTTGTCATTTACCATTTTTCATTATCGATATTATCACCAAAGCCAGGTGTATCAACAATTGTTAAGGAGATTCTAATTTTAACATTTAGAATATTAGTTCCCTTATTCCCTAGGCAAACATCTCCTTTTTTGCCCTTTTTTTCCCATTCTTTTATGTCATGAGCAGGCTTTTTATATATAACAATCATTACCTTACTCCGTCTTCGTCAAGCTCTGATTTAGTAAAGTATATGTGTTAGCGCCTACAGAAATTCAATAGGTAGTATTCATTTACCAATTGAAACAGGCTTGATATTAATACCAGGTTCATGATGAGCATCTTCAGGGTTATCACAGATTTTTTTGGTTAAAACATTGGAATCACAAAGGGTATTAACAAAGGTTGTACGTCCAGTGCCAGATGCACCTAAAGCACATAAACAGTTAATATGTGATATATAATATTAAGGGAAGAATACTTGCCTACAACCATCAGAGTGAATTGAAATCCTTTCTTTACGTTTTTTCTGCGACCACCAAGTCTCTAAAAAGAGAGGAAAGGTGATTAGATACATATTACACTTTTTTAGAAAAGAATGAATACATGTGCCATATTTATGAAAAATTATCAAAAAAGAGAACAAAAGGTATTTTTATGCGAATTGAGGAATCTTAAATAAGCTTTGCCATTTTAGATAAAAGGGGGTAGAAAGAAAATTAGGGATATGAAAAGGAGCAAACGTGTTGTTTTTTTTTATAAGGGAAGGAAAGAAAGGAAATAAGAAAGAATAAAGAGCGAATGTTTCCAATACTTTACTACTTTGCTATCACATTTAGAAAAGAGGGTAATATCCAAAGAAAGAGAAAAAAAGAGAGAAAGACAATGCTATGTTCATACAAACATTTTTACAAAAAAAAGGGGTTGTTTATTGTATATGTATCTGAAGAGTCGTTATTGAATTCTCTGGTATTTCTCCCAAATATTTACACTGGCTTCATTGGCTACTCCTTTGGCTTTCCCTTCCTGCAGTAATGTGATCGCCTTTTGAGCATCTCCATACATCAGTAAGAACTCTAAATATTTGTTAAAGTCATCAGGTTGAACTTGATTATTTTTTCTATTGCTTATTATATCCCAAATATGGTTTGCTCTCGCGGTAAATCCTATACTGACGCACGCTCTTAAAGCAATCGAAGTTGTTATTTCATTAAATCCACCGACAGCCTCAGCTACATCCCAGACATCTAGCAGTGCATGGATATCCCCTACTGCATAGTAAGCCTCCATTAAGTGGTTTATGATATTCGCATCAGGGTCCAGATGAGGATCCATACGAATGAGCTTGTGTACTTTTCTAAGCACATAGTCATCTCTTTGCTCCTTACATGCTTTTAGCATACAAAGATACATTTTGGATGTCGCTGGTATCTCAAGATGTCGCATATCGTTAAATAATGTTAAAGCTGTCAACAAAGAAGTGCTGGAATCCCCTTCAACATTTGTTAATATAAGCGAATCGCCATCACCTACAGTGTATTCATATATAGGCTCTTCTTGATTAGCAATGATCTTCTTTTCCACAACGGCTTTGGTTAATGATTCTATCATGGTTTCATACACACTAGAATCTAGTCGTAAATCCTTTGACGAGCTGCTCGGTGATCGATCTTCATAATTTCGTAGCTCATAATAGATCTCCATGGCATCACTGTATTTTCCATCGTTTAAGTAAGCCATCATCAGATAACTGTATGTATCAATGTTGGCCTTGATCACATGATTTCTGAATATTTTATCATAAACCGTCTGAGCCTGCATTGAACGGCCTTCAAGAGCAAGCTCTTTTAGTAACGCATTATATGAAGTTGGTGTTTTTTCCTCGATTGTGTCTAGTACAGGTATAATAGATGATGCATCAGTCAATTTAGGGATACTTGCAAGGTAGCGAAGCCCTGAATATGTAAATCGAGAAGCATATGGTGCTGGTAAATAATGCCTTAAGGCTCCAAGTGATCGTCGAAATATTGGAAATCTAAGCATTCTGCATTTCTCCCATTAATTTGCAGACAAGTGACAAATATAATATCGGGGCTACTGCTGTTTGCTGTGCAGATTGAATTGCTTACGTCACACGCTACGTACGTTAAATGTACGGCGTAGACAAAAGAAGATTCTTTCTAACATTCTCTTTTTCTCTTTTCTTCTAACACAAGTATATTAATATAATATAAAAATGCAAAATATCATAAGTATCGAACATAGCTAGGTGGATAATCAATGGATTAAGAAAAAAAAAAAAAGGGATAAAAAAAAAGTCAATATCACGTGGTAGTCACGTGCTTTATGTCCTATATATTATCTTTTCATTTTCACTTTTCATCAAGTGGGGATATGGTGTAGTGGCTATCACATCCGCTTTGCATGCGGAAGGCCCCGGGTTCAAACCCCGGTGTCTCCACTCTTTTAAACACCCAGAGTGATATTGTGTAACGTTACATATTGAAGCAATTTTTGTTTTGTCTGAGTTCAAAACTCATAAATCATGTACCTTCAATATATCGTAACAATAGCGGAGTTGAAACAGACGAACTTCACGACTTGTATGAAGTTCAACAAATGAATTTTAAATTATTTTAGTATAAATACATTCAATATTTTTAAATAAAGTTATCATCTAGTTATCAGTTAGTAATCAGTTAGTTCTGTTCTCAGTATAACTCAATCATCTTTATATTCTTTTATTTAAAGGCTTTTACTTTCTAATACATTTTGTATTTTAAAATACTTTTTATTATTCTTTTATACTTTTACTTTTCTTTTAACACTCTCAACTACCGATACGCTTATCTTGAAGCCTTGTATCAGTAGGATTCACTTTTATCTTTACTTTTATTCTTATATAACGCAAGTTATTTCTTTTGATCTATTAAGATCTGGTGGTCACGCGACAGAAACTCTTATATAACTCAAATTATATTCAAGCCTTTACCCAAACCTAACCATTTTACAA